CCTTTAGCCGAATTTTAAATATTTAATGACCGCGAGACGTTTACACAATCCGTTGATGCCGGTAATTATAGAAGCGCACACATTGTTGTTTCGGACGTGAGCACCGTAAAAAGTGTATGGGGTACATACGCCGTGGAGCGGAGATTATAAAATGGTTTTTTTTTCTTCTATTTTTCTGGTGGAACACCGGGACGAGAAAATAGTGGAATGACATCACCAAAGTAACATCTGTAGTCAATTCCCTATATAGGTAGGTATATCGGCAAAAGTTGCCGCGTTAACGACATTTCGAACGTGTTTACACCACCCCTGCAAAAGCTGAAAAGCCGTTAACCGACAAAAAAAAAGAAACAACACGCACGCACACCTTTATAAAAACCAATAGTTCCCTCTGTGTTTTGGCGGAACGCAAAAAAAAAATTTATACCTATATAAACAATAAAAAAAGACATCCTAAGATAATAGAGACGGGTGCAGTCACAGTTATAGGTAATTTAATGTGTATCTGTAAACAATGATAAACTATTGTTAACGAAAAAAAAAAAACGATTCTGAGCGCTGTTCAGTTGATAGTGATGCTTTGTCAACAATATATGTGTCATATTATGGTAAAAAAATTAATAGTAATTATAAATTTTCTTTAATAATATTTGTTTAATATAGTACCGTTTTTCCATGTTTTTTTCCCGGTTTATCACATTTGTTTAGAATACTCCTAGGAAAATCGAAAAATTGCCCCTTTAAAGTAACTTTCCAGACAGATTCACTTTTAGAAAAATGCTATCATTTTAAATCGGATCGAAATTTTTGGTTGAAAAGTTGTACACGGAAGAAAAAGGAACAGTATTTTTTTTTACTAATACTTACATTTCGTACATTTTCTGTTTTTTCCGACATTTCATCCTGGTTTTTCCCAATTAATATGATAACCGATTGAAAAAAATCACAAGAATAACCTTCTTATACCATAGATATAAAATTTCCTTTCGGAAAATAAACTTCAGTTGATACACGGGAGCAATATTTCTGGTAGAAAATTTGCACAACAAATCGAGGGGTATTGATTAAAATCATCCGAGCGACCGATAGCTAGGTCCCTGGGTACACTTAAAATAGATTTATTTTTTCCCTATTTAGGTAAAAGGTAAAAACATGTGCATGCAATTTCTTTACGTACCTCAAATGTGAACATACGTCCCCTTGCATGACATTACGTATTCATGGCAATTCGATTACAACAGACGTATAGTATAGTAGACAATATTTAGTTATTTAACATAAACATGTAATATCTGAACTTAAAAAGGTTTAATTTCGAAACTTAGTTAGTCCGCTCAATTCTAACTTTATCATCCCTCTTAAATCCGCAATACACATATATTCGAAAAAAAAAATTGAAAAATTAGATTCGTTTCACATAATTTTTTATTCGAACAATTATCGTCAAAAAGTAATATCAAAAATCCTTAATGTAAACAAATTCTACATTAAACTTAATTTTTTTTGTTTTACCACAAAGTAAGATTTTATGAACCTCCTGTTAAATTTCCAAGCGTTTCTGTATAGTCTGTTAAGTACCTACCGAATAAAACTTACGTACAAAACTCGTAAAATATTTAAATTTTACACGTTAAATGTCTATAAATATTTAAAAATTGGCTTAAATTTTTTGAAAACTTTTAGGAAAGGCAAATATAAATTTTCTGTTCGAATTTCAAGTGTCTACGAAATTTTTAACTGAATCACAACAAATAACAAAAATTATAAAATAATAAAACCATTAATTTCGTACGTTTCCCGTTTTTCTTACGTTTTACCCTGGTTTTTTCTAGATATTATGAAAACCGCTGGGAAAGTCAAAAAATGACCGCCCTAAAGTACCATCTGGACAGCATTTCTTTTCAGAAATGGTGCCGTGCGTGTATATCTGAGCGCGGTTTTTAGGTCGAATTTTCGTACACGGGATAAAAAAAAAAAAAAAATTGGAAAAATAAATGTGTACGGTCAGATAGGGACGGAGTGCCCGAAAACGTTGGCCGACCGCCAATACTGCCGCAGTTCATAATATTATGCATACGGCACGAAGACGGTCGGCGAGTTCGTTTTACTGCGATTTTCTCCGGAATTATATTAACGTTACATGTTAAAATGAATAAAAACAACGACGGGTCCCGGGGAACGGACATTCCGTTTTTCCTCCCCGGAGTTTTTGTTGTTTTGCGCATTTTGTCGGTATCGGCGCGTACTATACCGAACGGTCGAAATAACGAAATAACGAGACAAGACAACGGTCCGACGAAAACCGACGAAAATAAATGATGTGCACGAATTCGGAACGGTATAAAACGTTTAGTTTTTCTCGACGTTTTAGGTCCCCGATCTTTCCGGACAATGCGGCAGTAATAATAATAATTCGCGCACGGGTCGTGTTCGGCGATTCCGTTTTCCTTATCGGGCGCACGTGGTAAGGGGGAGTGAGGAACGGGTTGATATCAGCGTCCGTTCTCGAGTTTATAGTCGCCGGTTACGGCCCGAACTCTCCGAAATAATATAAAACCCATAAAAAGGTTCGGGTATATCATTATTATTATTATTATTATTATTATCATCATTATTATTATTATTGCGGGACGGATAACATCGCGGGCCGCACTCTGTTTTTCGCGGTTTATAATTTTTTTTGCCCGTCGCGCACCGCGCGCCCGCGGAAAGGTCGACGGCTGCGGCAAAGGTCCGCTGCGGTTAAGGCGCAGCCACTCGACTCGTGTCCGGGACCCGGGCCCGTGGTGCCGTTATCGGCACCGATCGGAACTGCAGTTTTCCGCGTTAAAATACGCGCCGGGTTACACGAGTGAGCCCGTGGTTTCGTATACATACCGCGTAAAAAATCCGAAAAAAATATGATCAAAAGGAACATTTCCGGGGACCACGTCGTCATAGTACAAAATTGACAAAAAACATTACTTAAACAAATAGACGTCCTAGGATAACGGGGGACGGGTGCAGCCGCTGTTATATGCAGGTGATTCAATGTACATCTGTTATAAACCGTTGCTGATGAAAAAATCGATTCTGAACAAAATTCATTTGATGTTTTGTCTACAGTATATATGTCATGATATGGCAAAATAATTACATATGCATTATAATATAATTATTAAATTTTCCTTTAATAATATTTGTTTAAGGTACCGATTTTTCCTGTTTTCGCGTGTCTTTCTTAGTTTTTCACAGTTGTTGATACTCTTAATACTCTTAGGAAAATCGAAAAATGGCTTCTTTAAAGTACATTTCTAGACAGATTTATTTTCAGAAAAATTCCTATCATTATTAATCGAAGCAAAATTGATTGAAGAAAAGTTGTCCACCGAAAAAAAAAAAAAATACATCTTTGTAAGACCATTAGCTTCTTCGTTTCACACAAAATCTAAAAAACAACAACAAATAATACCGGAGTCAATCTCAGTTTTGGTTACAACCTGGGCGTACAGGCCGTCGTCCGTCAGCGGCTGTAGAGATGTTTATATCTATGATTTGCGATCGGTCGCGGCGGCGCAGACGGCCATACCGTTCGCCTTTTTTCGGCCGACCGCGTAATACGGACCGTTTAAGTGTCCGTATTATTGAATACTAAAAATCACATCTCGTAATTTTGTGTTTTAAACGCTACGGAGTAATTGACTTTCGTCGACCGACGGGTTTTTTTTTTTAAAAATTAACGACGTCGAATTCGGCGAACCGGGTACCTAAAATCGGCTTTACGTTCGTCATAATTCGCATTCCGCAAAAATCGATTTTCTCGCCGTCCGCGTACGACAATAATAGTATTACGACTGTCAGCAACGACGTTTATAAAAAAAAAAAATATTATAATATCGAGATTTCAAGGATGTATAATTTATTTATATATTGGTTAGACATGTACATTCGTAATAATCGCACTGGTGTACAGGGGGAGGGGGGCCAATTGTTGAAATCATGCGATAAGTTCTCGTACGAGATAAAATTCAACGATTTTATCTCATCGGCCTTAAAGTTGGTGTTATCGAACTTAAATCGATAAGATTAAATTGTTGGTCGAATGCGACAATGTAAACCGAATGAACCACTGTGGATCAACACGAAATCTGGTTGTAACCTCAAATAAATATGCAATTTACACACAATTATTATTTATTATTTTACCATCCGATGTTGTCAACGATAAATGTGCTTTATTAAAATAAACACTGCAGTGCAGCCTACAAATTACCATCTCTTAAATATTTGTTAAAATTTTAACTTATAAGTACCATTCCTAATAATGCAATGCCTAAAGCGAGGCCAACTCAAAATCAGATGAATTTTTGATTGATCTAATTTGTAGTTACGAAATTCTAAAAAAAATAAATTAATCATAATTAATTAATAATATACAGTAGTAGGCAGGTATACAAAAATACCTGCAAGGAAAAAAAAAATAATTACCCAGTATAAAAGTGTTTACTTAAGTGTTCATATCAATCGCGCGGCCGAACGCAAACATTTTAAAACTATACGAGGGCCTAATAGATTATCTTAGAAATCTTTCACTAAATATTTTGTGAGTCTAAAATTTTTAATAAATAAACGATTATACAATGTGAATGGACCCGTAACAAAGTTCTTATTCCCGGGTCTGTCTTTGATAATTCGCATTGTTTTAATGATTTTTGTGTTCCTCGATGTTTGCACGGCAAACACAACATTGCAATTCCGTCAATATTAGCCATTAATAATTGTAACACTATCGCAGAATGGTAACTAATATGAACAAATAATTAAATACAAAACAGTTCAACGCACAGATTAAAATTATTTGGTAATAAATGATTATTGATGATGAGACATATTTTCATAAATTATCATACGGTACATGCTTGTCGCCGATTTTTGCCCAGTCGTACGGTCAGACTACAGTCATAAACCTTCTTTCATGAATGCCAAACGTATATTTTCGTGCTATAAAATGTTTATCGCGTGCGACGACGGAGTTTATGCGATTCGGGTTGGGTGGCCGCGATCACAGTTCGGTGTTTGAAAAAAAATATTCCGTTCGCAGGCGTTGTTGAGCTATCGCGCGTCCGCCACGGCCGGTACGAATTCGGTTTGGCGGTTACCGGGGCCGTGTTAAGATGGGTGCCGTAGGGGCGTTTTCGCCGGAGCTCGAAAGCTTTTTAAAACTATATCGGGACAGCCAACCAACCCCGACATTAAACTTGAAATAAAATGTCGAAGTTGTTTTGTTTCCGAACGCTTTGCTTAACGAGTATAACGCGAGATACATCTAGTGGAGTATGCGTAACAAGAAAACGATCCAGGGGCGAGGAAGCGTCGTGCTCGGTGGAGGTAAAATGTTAACGTAAATTTAAAGGTCTTAAGAGAAGGGCGTTTGAAAAATTAACGACCGCGAGAGTCAAATGGTTCAACGCGCGGTTCCGGCACTGGCCGTAGTTTGCCGGAATGGCCGTGGACATTCCTCAATGCGACGCCGTAGTCCACACCCGAGTCGGAAGATGGCCGTTCTTGCTTCCGAGGCAAATCGCAGACCGGAGTCGCACGCGTTTTATCCGATCGCAGTGCTCAGAGGGGGTAAGAAAAAAATAAAAACCCCGGCGCCCGTCATATTACCGTTGCGTTTTTATGCGATTTCGCGTATTGCGTTTTCGTTCGACCGGAAATCTTTCGAGTTTTATCCACGCGACGTCCGACCCGCCGGAACAATGCGCGGAGAAATAAACGCTTACACAAAAGACGTCCCGTCCGAAAGGTCGAGCATACGCGCAGTGCTTTACAACGGTGTACGGTGTACCCACGAACCATTGTTGCACTACACCGTGTCCGATCGGACAGATCGTCGGACGATGGGTTGTTCGGGCGATAGGAGGGTGGGGGGGCAGGGAGGGGCGGCGTGGGGTGGAAGGTCCGGAATACGGTATTTAAAAACACCGACCGCGCACGACGCGAAACCCGTGTTCGGAAAATATCTCGGCGGCGGTTTCGCGCGTTTAAAGAAAACCTACGCGAACGCTGCGACTTATTTCCGTCGTTTATTCCCGTCACGAAACGTCACTTATCGCGGTGCTACCGGTTTATCGTTTAACAATTTAGACACGCGATTTATCGCCGCCCTTCTCTACTCCGTCGGTAACCGTACACCGTTCGAACACTTGTGCACGAAAAACAAGGGTCGGAAAAACAGATGCGTATACGGATATACGCGAAAATCGAGGCATACGGAGTTATGCGATTTTAAAAAAAAAAAAAAAAAACCGAAAATCAGACTCACTTGAGGTCTTCCGAGGAAATCGCCGGTCCGCGGGAGAAAACGCCGACGCGCATCCGTCGTCGCGTACGGCGGTAAAACGTGCGCGAATCGCTTTGTACGCGCGTACAGCGGTACGGCGTTGCGAAATAAACGTGACGACAGTAACCGCGCAACAGACGAGCAGTTAAACGTACAGGGCGGGAACGTTTTCCACACGCGTAGCAACGGCGCCGCGGTCGAGCCAACATCCGGATCCCGAACGCGCCGTCGCGGGCAACGGTAACTGTCAACGTGCGCGATGCGCCGCGCGGCGACAACGGCGGTCGGCGGTTCGAACGTCGTGACGACCGGTTTCGCGGTTCCGGGAGAGCAGGGCCCCGGGTAAATTTCGCCCGACTCGTTTTCCCGGTGCACGCGACGCGAACGCGGAACGGGCGTGCGCGGGCGGCGTACACGCGAGCGGATGGGGGGAAAACAACGCCGCGTCGGGTATCGAACGTCGGCGAGCGGAAAGCAGAGATCGCGAACCGCCGGGAAAACCGCACGCGCGGCGGGCGTCGGGTCGCGCGCCCGGGACCGGCCACGGCCGTTCGGCCGCAAACGCCGCGAACGTGCGCGCGCCGCGCGGCCGAGACAAACGGGTTTTTTCACCCCGCCGAGCGCTCGCGGACCGATCCGATCGCAATGTGCCGGGTGCCCGATCGGGCGAAACGAGCGGACGGAAACCGCTGCCGTCCGCTCCCGGGCGGCGCCGCACATCGAACGTCCGGCGGTCTTTTTCCGAACGCGGGGCTGTTCGGCCGCGGGGGAGAAAAAATACGACCGGCGGTCCGGTGGTGCGAACCCCGTCGGAAACCGTCGGCCGTAAACGGGCTGTCGGAAAATGCCCGTCACTCTCGACGTCCACGCCGCGGCGTGACAAGTTGCGCGGCCGGATACCGCGTCCCGCGCGAACTGTCGACTCGTCTGGAATCCCCTAGTGGATCGGGCCGCTCGATTGAACCGCGTCGGCTCGCGTTTCGCGTCGACCGAGCGTACCGCAATTGTTATCGGGTGCGGGCTGTATCGTAAACTATTCGATTTCGTTCGGAACGTTCCTGAAGTGACGCTTTCCGAGCGCGGAATCCGTTTCGCATATCGAACGAACAAAACGCGAGAATTCCATTTCGTTGTATTCCATTTCGCACCGTAGTTAAAATATTACGCGATTCGAAAACGCCGTTGCGTTCAACTCGCGCGGTCGACGCGTCGGGCTCCGGGCGGGCGCCGTACGGCGTTTTCGGCGTACCGCCGGGCGGGCGGGCCGCGGCGGGGACGGAAAAACACGGGGGACCCGACACGTTCGCGGAACAGACGCCGCGGTCTCCGCCGTCCGGTCTCTTTGTCCCGGGACTCTGCGACCGCGACGGCGACGGCATCAATCCATCACTGTAAAAACTATTACGGCGCGGTGGCGTACACGTTCGTTATTGTCCGTCCCCGCGACCGGTTATTTATTTATTTATTTATTGCGGCGGCGCGCGTACCGTCGTCGTCGCTCGTCGTTCCCATCGCGTCGGACTGCTCCGTCTCTTTCGGAAACAACATTATTTTTTATTATCGTTAAACGCGGCGGCGGCCACCCAACGGGGGAACGCGGTAAAAAAAAAAAAAAACAACAACAACACGCAGTTGAAACTGGAACGGCGACGTGACGGGCCGCGGCGCGGATCGTTAACGAAACCGACGGAGACCTTCGCGCGGACCGGTAAAAAAAAAAAAAAAAACGTAAAAACGAAATAACATAATTGCTGTTGTACGCACGAAAACGCGTCCGTCCCATCACGCGGTGAAATCACGACGGCGATATCGGTGATCCGCCCTCGCGGTTCACACACCGAAACAACAATACCTTAAAAATAAAAAAAAAATAAAAAAAAACAAATCGTAATCGTGTCGTACAATAACGTCTCAATGTAGCTAACCCGAACGATCCGCGCGGTAAACAAGATGCACGCGAACCGCCGAAAATCGATGTGCGGACGGCAATCGCTTTTGTAAACGTAGCGCGATAATAATGTTGCCACGCACTTGACCGCGAAATCCGTTGTTGTGTATATTATCGACTCCCGACACGGGTATCGCGGCGGTTTTCACGGTTTTTTCGTACAGTCTGCGGGACACGGAGAAAAATAAATTAGGCGCACTTCAATCGCGTCGGAAATCGCTGGTAAGAAAAGGAAAAACTACAGGACAGTAAAAACGGTATACGTCAATTGCGCCGCTACGGAAATCGGTTTACTAAACTAAAAGGTACGGTGTTAGTGTTGCGATTTTCATTTTCGCATTTTTTTTTGGCGTGTGGTTAACGTGGTAACGATTTGTTCCCTATGATAAAATCACTTTAAAAGAACACAAACATCACCACGGTTATACATTGTGAAGCGCTTAACACTACGGATTTATAACGGATAATATTTGTCCGAATCTTGTGCGTCTCGAAATAACCAAATAATATTGTTATAAAAATAACGGTTTTCCAGAGTATAACGACGCAAACGTTTTTTAACCGGAGATACTGTTTTATGCCAAACCGTACGTAAAATTGGATCTTGGATGTATTGGATTACGACGCGGATTATCGATCCGCGCAATTTCGACGTACACTTTTTTTTAGCAATCCCTTTTCGTACCGTACGCGTTACGGACGTGTCGTTGTATTCAATAAATATTGACCACGTTGAATATCGTTTACACTTTTCGTGCGCGAAAAACCGATTTCGCGCCGTTAATTGTCGCGCCGCAGAGCGTGTTACGCGTGTTTATCCAAAAACTTAAAGTTAACGAAATAATACGATTCGAAAATCGCCGAATCCGGATTGCAAAAAAAAAAAAAAAACCGGAATACCGAGAGAAAGCCTGCGTACAACGCGGACACGGACCACTTAACTTACCGTTTTTGGTCGGCGCGCGCGGGAGAAAATCGAATAATGTCGAGATAGTCGCGCGGCGGGCGCACGCTGATAGCGTCTGACCGTATTACCCACTCGCCGTCGGGAGATCCGGCGCTGCGCGTACTTTGTCTCCGCGACAAACGCCCGAGTCTTCCGTATACGCGCGCACGCACGCGTGTTACACCCACGCACCGTCGCGTTTCCCCGTCTGGCTTTTCGGGGACGACAAACGCACGCGCGCGCGTGTACACGCGTATATCGCGAGGTTCGTCGCGCATTCGGCGCCAGGTCTTATATTGCCGCGACAGCGTATACGCGTACGGGTATTATCATACAATACACGAGTACGTATGTGCACCCGTGAACAGAGGGGGGGGGACGATAAAAGCGGTCGAGAGAGAGACGACGAACGCGTGGGCGGGTATAGGTGTGCATTCGTTGAATTTCAGATCTGGTCCCGCGTAGACCCCGCAGCGTCGCATCCCTTAACCGCGGGACGGCTGTTGTACGGGCCGACGGACGCGGCGGTATTATTTCGTTTTGAGGCGGTGGTTTTCGTTTTTTTTTTTTTTTTTTATTTTGTTTTTTGTTTTAGCCGTATATTCGACTTAAGCCACAGTCGCGCGTCGTACGCGACTGTGCAACGACAGTCCGGGACCGACTCGTCAGATTTAAAGCAGAGAGAACGAAAAAAAAAAATAAAATAAAATAATAAAAAGCTTTGAAATGACTACGGCAAAGTTTATATTGTAATATGTCGCGCGGTCGTATAGTCGTAAAAATATTTCCACCGCGGGGTGTTTTATGTACGTACATAAATACTATAATAATAGTATTATCTAAGAACCGGGGTGTCTGTTTTTTTTTTTTTTTTCTAAAAAAAAATACCGAACGCGTCGCCAGAACGAAGTGAAACTGTTGTATTGATCCCGTGGGAAATACGTGATAATATCAAAATCGATTGCAATATTACTCTAGCGGTAGGTGTCGACGTGAGTGCGCATTTAGAGACTCGAGCTCGGCGAATTTACCGGGTGAATTTTACCGATCTTCAAAACGAGCGACAACTCGTTTCAAACGATGCGTCCATAAACCCGATAACATTTTATTTCGGTACATTTTCGGTCTATACCTAAAGTATTACGTTCCGAACCACGCGTATTCGCACTCGAAACTTTTACTATTGTTTTGTTGCCTGACGATCAGTACAGACGGTCGTGCGGTTTTTGTTTTTACTTTTCGTTCCGTCATAAGTAAGAAATTAATCAATTTATCGGGGGAGAAAAAAAAAAAACCAAACAAACAATCAATAACACGCTCCGTGCTCGTCGGTATCCGTTCATGCGCGTTCCGTATTTATCGCGCGTACTCTCGCGCTGATTGTCACGTTTTCGAACGTGTATTTCGACGCGGTTATAAAAAAAAAAAAAAACCGTACCCCACAAAACGCTACGGTTTTTACCGGGGAAATTCGCCGAAAACCGTTGACCGGATGAATTTCCGGGCCGCGGCGGTCGGCGTTTTTAACCGGTTTCAACACTCCGACGCCCCGTCGATTTCCCCGGCGAACGCATCGCGCAAACGAATCGTGAAAATAAAAATAAAAGGCGAACGTGCGCGAACGAGTTGTGCGCGCGCGGAGTTCGGACGCGTTCTCGGGCCCGGACACCGCGGACGGGGTGCTGTTGAGGGGAGCGGGATGAGGGGCACGCCGGGGTCCGCCGCGACACGGACGGGTCGCCCGTCGCCCGCCTCTTTGCGCCGCGCGACTGTCGCCGAACGCCCGTCGTATCGCGGAGTTCGCGACGTTCGGCCGACGAACTGCTCGCCGGCGGGTTCGCGGAACCGGCGGCACCGCGACGCGCGGGGCCAGTTTCCGAGCGCGGCGCGACGTTTCGGGACGGCCGCACGGACGCCCCGCGGGTTTCCCGTCCGTCGGAAACGATTCGACGCCGTACGCGACGTAAAATTTGACCGATCCCACCCCCCCCCTCCCCCCTCCCCCTCGACCGTTCCGCCCGCCCGCCGCCCGCGCACGGCGAACGTCGACGGCGCGAAACGACCCGCGCCGGACGCGGCGCGGGGTAGGGGGGCTCGTCGTAAATTATTTACGTAGACATAATATTGACAACGTGCGTTGAATATTATACGGAATGCGTAATGCGCGTCTCTTCGCTCGCTTTCCGTGCGCGCCCCGGGATGTGTGTATAATGTCATCCGGCCGCGCGAGTGAGACCCGCGAAAAGAGCCGTCCCCGTGCGTAAGTCGTCTTTGCATAATGTTTTTTTTTCTTCCGTTCTTTGTCGCCGTTTTTATTTCCTCCGACCGACCGGCGGGGAACGAACGCAAACGGAATACGGCGTAAATCACGCCGAACGGTTGCCGCGCCGCGGTCTACGAGTGCCGTCGGGTGCCAAGAAAAAAAAAAAAAAACGACCGACAATTATTTACGGTGTATACGGGAAATTAAGCGTCCGCTCGTCCCGCGACGCAGACGGAACGTGCCCCCTACCCCGTGCCCGCGGACAGGCGCGGCGCCGTGTTTGGTTTGCGCGTAGAAAACAATTGGCCCTACGGCAAGGAACCGAATAATCCGGGGGACCGTTCCGGCGTCCGAACGACGGCGCGATTTTCGGCACCCCCTCCCCCCGGAGGGGCGGTGCCGGGCGCAAAGCTAATTTCGAAAACAAGCGGACGCGGTCCGGGACGCCATGACGTACGACGCGCGGTGTATGAGCGAAACGCGAGTGACGGGCGGTAGAAAAAAACGCGGTAACGGCGCTCGCGGTTTGACGCGGAGGGGGGTGGCGGCTGTGCGCGAGCGACGAGGAAACGTCGCCGTACGTTCATTTTTCATTTGCATTCGCGCGTTCGTTTACGTTTCCTTCGGCAAATCGTGTTTTTTATTATGGGTTATTTTTTTTTTATTTTTCCCCGCATCCCGTCGAGATCGCCGAAAAAATAACACGTCTGCGGCGCGCACCGGCCGCAATCGAAACGTCACAACGTGCGCGCGCGCGAATCGGCGGAGCCCTTTCGTTGTCGTCCGACGCCGGCCGGAACAACGCGTTCCGTTGTTTCGCGTTTTACGCGGCGCGCCGTTCGACCGGACGTCGCGGATTTCGGAGGAAAACGTCCAAACATTAACGTCCGGTTAGGCGTACACCTCCGTGAAAAAAAAAAATATAGCGGGGATAATCGATTAGACACCGTCGGGGGCATGCCCGACACACATACCGACACACGTTCCGTTGCATCGAAAGCCGACCGACCGACCGTCAACCAAAAGGGAACCGAACAGAAGCTACTAAACGGATAAAACACGTCGCGGCGCAATGACGGACACGGACGCGCCTGCCGCCGGGCGGGTTCCACGCGTACACGCAAGCAACGACAAACTATTGCCCACGGAAAAAACGATCCCGAGTGGAGTTCAGTTAATAATGGCGCAATATATATATACGTATATACGTATCTATGTGTCACATATTGCGGCGAATTAATCAAACGGGCGTTGTATATTTTCTTCAACAACGTGTGTACCGATTTTCCCGTGTCTCCCCATTTTTTTTCGTTCCCGGCATGTTCGTATTTGCCGGGAAAAATAACCGCCCTGGAGTTCTTCCCTGCGCGGATTCCATTTCGGAAAATGTGCAACACGTAAAAATCGAAGCGAGATTTCCGGTAGAAAAGTCGCGCAAATTTAAAAAAAAAAAATAATAACAGTCTCCTTGTAAAACCACAGAGAGAGCTTCTCTTCGCACCGCTCGGAATCGAAAATTTACGTTTTCCCGATTTCTGGCCGACCCGATCTCTAGTAAAGTGATCTGTCTTGTCGATAAATCTTGTGGACCGTCGACTGCTGGGAGACTGAAGGGGAAGTGGGTTTTTCTTTTTCGATTTTCCGCAGCGTTTATTCGTCGCAGTTATCGGTAAAAGAAAAAATAAATAAAAACGATAATATTCACCGAATACGTATTGGACCGGAGATCTTTCGTTAATTACCGAGCTTTCGTGTTCGTTCTGCGCGTACACAAGCCGTTTTCGTCGACGTCCGCTAAAAGCACGAACTGCAATATCGCTACAATCGTTTATCACGCGATCATCGCGAATCGATGCTGCGTTCGGTTTGCGTCTATCGAATAGACATCTTAACCGCACCGCGTACGCACGAAAATATCGGATTCCCTCGCCCTCCTCCACCCCGCCGCACCGTTCCGCCCGTAAAACACTATATTTTCACGGCCCGAATCATACGCTGCGAACGTCATTGTGCCACGTTTCCGGCCGTCGTTTCGTTAAAAGCTGTGTTTTTAACACAATGTTTTACCGTTTTTCGTTTTTCTTGTTTTCCCCGTTTCAGGTACGTTGGCTTAATATTCGCCCATTTCGACGGCGATAACGATTAATATTATTATTGTCGTCGATATCCGCCGGCCGCGGCGCAAACCGCCGGAGTGCGAAACGCGATTTGTCAAAATGCGTTTCGTCCGCCGTGGGCACGTACCCTTGTAATTATACCGATTTGTCGTCTCGCCCGCGTCCGTAGCGCACGGAGTCGTGTGCGAAGCGTCACGGCGGAATCCGTTGGTTTCGCGCGGGGCGTAAACGCGTTCCGGACGTTCTGCGCGCCCGGCGACGCGGTGCAGCCGATCTTATTGCCGTTTAACGCGCGAGTTTTTTAACTATTTGTTTTTTTTCTATACGCAATATATACATATATATGCATATGCATTCAAATTATTCGATAAAGCCGAGCGAAGTTGTTCGACAAGACGCGTCCGACCCATTACAAAGCCAATGTGAATTTACGCGGTCGTCATGAAAACCCGATAAAATTGAATCGGAAGTTTTAGGTTCGTTAAATTTCCAACCGTGTTCGGCTGTCCGGATAAGTTAATCGTTGAAAATAACGACTTTTAAGCTAGAAAAACGGTATGGGAGGGGGGGTTTTCTTTTGTTCGCTTCTAATGTCGCCGGCGCACGAACCCGTTCGTTTCGGAAAACAAACGAAACAATCGAATATCAAAATCTAAAATGCCACGCCGATATCTTTTAGAGAACATTTTTTTATTTTTTTTTTATTTGCCTTACAGTATAGCGACGATCGATAAAACCGAATAAAACACTTTAAACGCAAATCATAAGTTTCAACCGAAAGTAAATTTTCTCTGAACGGTGGGTACTTTGAAAAGGTTATTTTTTTAAATTCTCTTTAACATGGTAGTACAGTGGTACTTCGTGAATTGCTCCGTATACATTCAGTGTTCACGTCGGCATTTACCTATGGGTAATATTACCAATAAAAAAAAATCGCATTTATCAGTTGCGTGGTTATTACCGAACGGTTGTCTATGCGCAGATTTAATTTGACATTACATTTACAGGATTCGATTTTTCGACTTCCTACTTATTTAAATTCGATTAGCGGATAATTCGTAATAAATATTCAGAATACTTTATCGCGATTCACACATTATCCTTCGGTTGTCTGCCGTATGTGACGCCAGAAATCTTCGTATTCGATCCGTCTCCCGTAAAGATTCCTTTTTCTTTTTGGATGAGGTATCTTCCGTGTCGAATTCTAATCCGACCCCACTGTCCGCTCAGTAATGTCTCGGTAATTTTTTTTCGTCGAATTTTCTCCGAAAATAGAGACTATCTCATTGAATTATTGTGTTTTTTTTTTTTTTTTTTTATTAAGTATAAATATAATTTTCCCAGTGCATTTGGACACGTTTAACGGCTCCCATCTGGACTAAAAGAGCTCAAACCCGGGAGTTTTTATTTTTCCAAAAAATGGATGGAAGTGATGCAATGTCGGTTGAATTTCAACACGGACTTCACCGTGTCGCGGTGGAAGGAGGGTGTTTTTTTTCAACTATTTTTAACACCTCTGCCGACCTCCGAAACGAAGCCGCGGAGCTTAGATACGTACGGTATTCGGAGAATTCGGTGAATTTTCGGGGTTTCAACTTCCAACCGCTCCTCCAATCGTTGATACGGTCATGGATTTCGTATTTTCACCGGATGTAGCGGGTTTAAAATACCCTCAAGTAATTTAATTCAAATCTGTACATGTACGGTGGCACAGAATAGAATTACAATGTGCCTGTAGAAGATTTGAACTCCCCGTCGCCGATCCCGCCGCCGTCTGTTCGTGTGTTGGCGAAAATTCACGAAAACTACTTTATTTCTTTCGTTACGACTTTTTCTCGTTCGATTTCTTATCGTTATATATCGTTATATATGGGGGGGAAAAAAAAAATAAAAATAAAACATCAAATATCCGTTACGGCAACAAGTCGGACGGGGAAAAATTCGTCTCTCGGCGACGACGTAGATCTACGACTGCTCGCGCGGTGTTTTTTTTTTCGCCTCTCGTGATTGCAGTCGTTCGAATATTCGCTGTGGATGTTGCAATACCATCGTTGTTATCTACGCGCGGCGCGAGCACACGCACACGCACACACACACACACACATGTTGCCGGAACATTACGGTTCGAATGCTCGACGTCGAACACGTTATTCTGTTTTGAACGGTCTCGGGGAGAGAGGAAAAAATAAAATAAAAAAAAAAAACCCGAGATTAAATCGATTTCTTTGTTGTACAAATCGTGCGGTTGATACAAACCGCGCGCGGTTGCGTATTTAAAATCAATTTCCGAAAAAAAAAAAAAAAAAAAAACAACCGACTCGCACAACGTTACATCGCATTTACAGTCCTAATGGAAACGCATTGTAATGTATCACAAGTCGGGCGCGGGTAGTGAATATCTGCGAGAATCGCGCGGAGAGAATATCGTTTTATACAACACGCACGGCGGTTGTGCACGCGTCTCTCGAACGGGGTCCCCTTTTGTGCCATTCCGACGGGGGAAGGGGGCGGGACGGCGAATTTTCCTGGTTTATTATTATTATTGTTATAATTATTATTTTTTTTTTGTTTTTTTCCGCCCTCCCAGCCCCCCCCCGATCCCGGTTGTTTTGCGCCCGCCGCCCGACGGTTTTACCGGTCGGTCGGCGTGGCGAAACGCGCACGTCACTTGCGAATATTACATTTTTATATGTGCGCGCGTGATAACCAATAAATAACGCGTGCGCTGTACTCGGCGTTCGCTCGTGTAGACCGCGTAAAAAAAAAAAAAAAACCGAAAAAATCAAAGTTTACTCCGTCAGGAGTACCCGCCAGACCCGTACCCGGGGGCTATTACCGCCGTGACGTCGTAACAAACGCGTTTTCGCAATTTCGTTTTTTCGCGCCGCGATAACTTTAACTATACGATTTTTTTTTGTTTTGTTTATGTTTATGTTTATGTTTTTTTTTTTACTTTCTCGAAAATAAATTACCCGGTCGATCTTGCACATTTAACCGCACATAATAAAACGACCGATATACGGAATAATATATTTTTTTTTTTCACGGCGTAATTTACTCGGAAGATTTCGAATAAATTCGATTTCTGTTCAGCGAGAACACGCGTATTGTGATTTACGCGTTGTTTTTTTTTCTTTTTTGGCGTGTCACTGACACTGTGAACAACTTTTCGCTTCGATTTTCAAGTATAGCGGCTTTTCCGAAAGAAAATGTTTTCTATTCGGTGTATAAGAAAAGTAATTGTTCTGATTTTTCTCACAGTTTTTAATTGAGAAAAACGTGCGAAAATCAAGAAAGAACACGGAGATAATTAACGGGTTCGCTGTTTTAGATATTGTTTGTTTTTCATCAAAAAAAAAAAAATAACTTAATTATTAAAACCACAAGTGGAAGTATAATTAAAGTATAATTTCAAAACGTAATTGAAAGAAGTCCGAGGATAATGGGGACGGGTTGCAGCTACCGTTATAGATAGTTAAACGTATATCTTGTAAGCAACGATGAGCCATTGATATCGAAAAAACGATTTTTAGGATAAGTTCAGTTGACAGTGCTACTTTCCCAATAATAAATATGTCTTATTATTGTAAAATTTCAACTATTCCAATTCCAGAATTAAAATTAACGACCTCCCTAGAGTACCTCTCCACACCGATTTCCATTCAAATAAAGGTGCTACACGTATAAACAGGAGAAAGTTCTCCGGTCCACAAAAAAAAAAAATAAAAATAAAAAATAAACATCTTTGTAAAATCCATGCGCTCCACTCAGAATCTAAAACAATCATCTTTACAAAACCATAATCTTCTCGGTTCCGCTCGGAATCTAAAAACATTAAAAAAAATTAACAAGGACATACGTATGACGATACGTATGTAAATAACGTCTTTGCTCAAAACGTCTGTTAGGTTGATGTCAGAGGAGCATGATGAGTACATGTATAAGGTCACAAGATATTATGCATAGTCATTGTGTATAGTACAATAGAAACTCGTTTCATTATTGAGTTTTTATCGGTTTTCGTTAACGCAGCATCACAATGTAATGTATCGATGAAAATGATTTTCCGAAGTATTATTATTTTTTTTTTTTTTGTCGAGGTCGAACCCTCTCGACTCCCCTCATCCGCGGCCACGATTCGAGCAAAAACGTATTATTATGTTAAGGTCCCTTTTCCCGATCCGACGCACCGCAGAACATGCGCGGGCGTCATTGATATTCTCGCGTCAATGATCCAAAATTTACCGGTGAAAATCGTACATCGTTCGGGCGAAAAATGAACCGAATTCGTTTGGACGAATTTATTTTTGTGGTATTTTCGTATTAGTTGCAATAGCCAGTGCGCGGTTTAAATATACAACTGTTTTCATGGTATTTACGTTGGTTTTTACTTTCCGATTGCATCTAATCCAATCGGATAATTTCGCATGCATAATGCAGTATTATACCGTAATAAAAAATGTACATATATATGCATTGTAAAAATGTTGAAATTCAAAGAAAAAAATACCACGATGTACTTATATAAATAATATTAAATACCCGAATCGCCCGTGGAAATAAAAAAGCGTTAAGATTATGTCCGCAGCTAGACCAAATACACGAAAAGGACTGTCGAAAACAGAAATGTAAGATAATGGGGACGGGCGCAGCCACCGGCTACTGGTGCAGGTCGGAAGTCAGGTTACGTAGGATACAGACGGAAAACCGATGTATGACTGTAAGCAAAACGATTTTGAGCGGAGTTCAATCGATTGTGATGTTGTGTCTACATTATATATACATATGACATATTAAAGTAAAACAGTTGAATTGGCTCTATACGTATTTTTCGACAATATTTGATTGATGTTGTACCGATTTTCCTACGTTTTTCGCATTGTTTCCCGGTTTTTGAACATTCGCTGAGAAAACCCCGGAAAAAAATCTACATTCTCTAAAGTACCTACCCGGTGCAATTTTCTTTTGGAAAAATCGTTATCGTAAAAAAGTTTTAGCACAATTGAAAAAACGAAGAAAAACTAAAATCGTAATATTATACAAATATTTTCCGTACATTTTTCCGTTTTTTCAATTCGATGAGACAACGCTCTTGAGAAAACCGAAAACGACCTCTTCGGGGCACCTCCACGTACCGTTTTCCAGCGACCGGAGAAGTCGCTACGCGCGAAAATCCGAGCGAGTCGTGCGCGGTAGGAGGAGTTGTAAACAGAAAAAAAAAAAAAAACCGAAAAAAACAAACGTCTTTGCGAAACCGCGAGACTGCGGGTTCTGCCGCCGGCGGGCGTCAAATAACAGGAACGAAAAGAACGACGAGAAAATGCGGAACGCGTGAATCGCGCGAATTACCGTTTCGTACGTCGCAACGTGCGCCGCGCGCTCGTTTCGGTCTCGTCCGTTCGTCCGTTCGACGCCCGGACCCGACGAACGCGCGGCCGGGAAACGAGACCGGGGGACTCTCGAAATCTCGGTCGTCGGCTTCGCCGTGTCGGCCCCGGTCTCGCCCGGACATTTGCCGTTCGCGCGTAACGCACGAGGCCGGAACAAAGTTCGACGCTTGTCGCAGGGCCCGCAGCGAGGCGTGCGGCCGACGGACTGCAACGTCCGTGACGGCCACAATGCCGTCGCCGTATAACGACGCGCAGTGCGCCGGTGTACGTACACGAAATCCGGCGCGGCGGTCATATCGCGCGAACAACGGACGAAACCGAAAACGTGTGTTTACGACGATAACACGGCGCCCACAGTATTTCGGCTTTTGCGATACTAATTCCGATTGTCTCTAATATTTTTTTCGGATAATTGGCCGTTTTCTCGAAACACCGATACAGTTCAATAATAACTGGACGATACCCGATTATTTCCGTTACACATTATTTAATTATTTAACCCTGGATCCGCTAACGTGCTTACGGGAGCGAAAAAAAAAAAATAAATACAGCGCCGGTGCTGGTCTTGCCGGTGCCGTCTTGGCGGTCTTGGTTCCGTAATACCGCAACGATAGTTCTGTTATTTTTTCGCCGGAGTCGCGTCGAAAATCGTCCGATCGAGTCGTTCGCGGCCGACGCACGCGTGCGAAAGGCCGTTCGGGGACATCGGCGGTCGCGACCGAGACGATCGCCCGGCGGACCGGAGTTTTCCGGAGACTGTCGCGGGGGTTGAGGGTGGGAGGCGAGGGAACAATGCGACGGCGGCGGAGGCAACCAGCTAGACGGACGGAAAGACGGAGAGAAATAGAGGTAGAGTGAGAGAGGGTGAGAGAGCGAGTGAGACGAGGAATGAGCGACGGGGAAACGGACGGACGGAGACGGAAAGGACCCAGTTATATTATATCGCGCGGCGGCCCTCGTTTCGGGGCCGCCCGCAGAAGTTTTAGGTCACGTCCCGTCCATTAGCGTCCATTGACGACGCGCGGTTTTCTTTACGGCCGTTCCGCCGGCGCGGTCCCCGGTGACGTTGACGGATAGTTCGCCGTCGCGTACGGCGGCGCGCCGGGGCCTTTCATCCGATACGCGCGTTACGGACATAACCCGTCCCGGGAAAATCGCCCCGGTACATGCCGGGAGCGCGCGTGCGGGAAACCGGAGCGATCGTCCGGCGTCGTTTGCGTTTCGCAAAAAGTAATATTATCGCCATACGGCCGTGGTAATAATGATTCTTTAGTCCCGATTTCAGGGGGGGTTGAGGGAGGGAAACGATCGTCGGCGTCGCCGTGTACTGGGAGAGCTCTTTATTTCGCGCGCCGACGTTAGAATCCACAAAACACCGCGTACGCGCGCAATAATATTCACGAGTACGCGTACTTTCACGGGGTGTTTTGTACGCGTACGACTCCGAAACGCGTGAACCGCCGATGGGTAAACGCGTGAGTGTGTACGAATCGCGTTAGGCGGATGTCGAAAACCGGTAGTTTTCGTAATTTTGTCAATTTTTTTTTATCCCCCAGTCTCCGGCGACCGAGAAGAAAGTGTTGTATTATTCCACCACCCCTCCACTTCACTCCCCGCCGAATACAATACTTTTGACAATATCGCACACGAAAGTGTTCGAAATACTCTCCGAGTATTCAGAGCGCAGTACTCGGCAAGCCGCGGGACGTACGCGCCCGGTGTCGGGATCGAAAAACAACAAACGCACGCGGAAAACCGTTCGCTCGTCCAAGTTCATTCCCGTGGGGTGGTAGGCGCGCGGAGAAAACCGAGGAACTCGTCGTCGTCGCGGTGTAATTTGCGACTCTCGGCCCGGGAGGTTTGCGCGAGTAAACAATCGCGCGCTAAATACTTCGTTAGGACTCTCGGGACCGTCAGGGGGGAGGAGCGGTGGGGAGGCGCTCGCTCGCGCGCGTGCGTGCGTGCGCGGAGGGCTGGGCTGGGCGGGTGTACGGTTACTCGGTTAAGTTACTAATGCGGCCACGCGAAGGTCGCGCGCACGGCGACTTAGGCGCGCGGCCGGGAACCGGATTTCGTCGGAACCGCGCACCGTACACGCACGGTAAATACGCTTTTTTACCGTGGCGTACGCAGGGGGAGTAAAGTCAGGGGTCACATCCCCGTGCCGCGGCCGTGAAAACGCGAAAAACACGTCGTGAACAATAAATTCGATTTGACAACCGCGTCCGGATTGGTTCGGGTGGTTTTTTTTAACGAAACGCATACGCCTTGGCCACGGGGACAAGTCCGGTATATCGATTGGAAATCGGCTTTTTCGAGAATCCGATTCTTTTGAGTTACCGATTGCCAAAGTCGCGTCGGGCAGAGATGACGGTTTTACGGGTCGCGTCCGCTACGTCACCTCCCGTTGACGATTCCCGCGCGCGCCATTGAATACGTGTTACCGGAGCGGATTAGGCATTAGCGGTTTACCGATAAAGGATCGCGAAATGTAAAATTTATCGTTTCGATACCGTGTGTACCGGGTGTAATATTAGCGATAATAATATTCGCGTGTCACGTTAGTCCGCACGGATGATAGGGTACCCGACCAGCTATATCGTAGTACAGAAGTCGTACGCTTCGGGGATGCCAGGGACCCTTTAACCGTCCCGGAAATACGTGCGCCACCGGATTCTCTGTCGGGAAATTTACCGGATAACGGTTTTCGCGCGTGCGTTCCGTACTCGGTGTGCAGGCGTTCAATGCCGCGGCGATCGGTTCTCCGCAAATATCTTGGACGTTAGCGAAACACGGTGAAAATACCGTTGCGTACCAAGCTGTCCGGAATTTATGACGAGACAAAGTACACGGATCGAAACCCGTCCGTGATTTTATTTCAAACGCTTTTTTTTTATCGCCCCCCCTCCCCCCGAGATTTTTACACGAAAGCAGCGAGAAATTCGATTTTACCGGATTAATCCGTTCCGAACTCGATACGTACCAACATTGTTTTTTTCGTATCTAAACGCTTCGTCTCTTATTGTCTTCTCATTGTTCGGCTATAAACTATCCGTCCAACTAATATAGCTCGGCAGAGCCAATGTCTTCCTTGCGTTATCTACGATCGTCTCTTTCGGCACTCCTCGGCCTCCTTTGCCGCGACGGGTTTTTTCACTCCATAACGTTTGAAATTAATCTATCGAGCCTCGCGTAAAATGTGCCCCCGGGAAAAATGTCGTTTTTCTCGTCTCAATCGGTTCGGCGATCAGCTGTCTATCTCGGTTTCCACGGACCAATAATATGTTTGACACGCACCAATACGTTTGTCTTTATCCTTTCCGTCCGGCTAACCTATGCCATTTTTCGTCACGTCCGTACGTCTCCCCGCGCAGTGTTTCTAATCGCTTTGTGTCTCTTTAGTGTCCTTAAAACCCCAACGGACTCACATCCGCGTGGCGGGTGACACTAGACACTCCGAACGATGAAAATTTGAAAAAAAAAAAAACTTACCAGGTCCTATAAAATACTATCGGTACGCGCTCGCGGTTGTCAACATGACTTGAAAGGTAAAAACATTATCTGTGCAATTTCGTGAATGGGCGTTAAGGTTAGGTTAGGTCATTATACGTCATTTCATAGTAAAATAATTAAATAGGCTTTCTATTATTTTCTTTAATTGCATTCGTTTTATGTTGAACAGATTTTCCCGTTTAATTAAATATCTGTAAAAAAAAAAAAAAAAAAATAATGATAAAATAAAATGTCTCTATATCGTTACAATTAAATAATTCAAACGTGATTTAATGTGGGTTTTTTGTTTTTTTTTTTTTTTTTTAATACGTCGATGCACTGCACGTATAATGACTATAAAACGTTCGATCGCTATAATATATTATGATTATAATGTTAAATGTGTAAAACGATTTATTATTGGATTGTCGTTTGTACAGGTTCAAAAGTTACTGCAGCCGTTTGTACAATAATATATATGCGAAATCGCTGCAGTTCACATTTTACACCTAATAATATACGAGCAGTTAATAAATTACAGTTGAATAATGCACACGCCGTTCAATATACTTTTCATTAAACAATTGCGTGCCGCGCGAATTTTTATGCACATATTTATCATATAGCAGGTACCCGTATAGCAGTGGACGAGTATTAATTATTCCGACGTGTACGGACGTACGGATCGTTCGACCGATTCGATTATCCCCATCAACCCCATACCCCTCCGCGCCCAATATTATTCTTCGGTTTACACCGCGTTTAAGCCGACACGGTTCCGTTGAGAGCTTATTGATTTTGCACCATTGTTAAATTTCGATTGGTCGGAAAAAACCGATAAACGTTGTGTACAACGTATAGAGTCCGCCGAGATCGTTAAACGTCCGCGCAGCTGCCGCCGGTTCGCCACGCGGGCTGTCGTGACAGCGACGTTGTCGCAGATACACCGTCCGTACGGTAAACCCGCGGTGCGTAGAGCGACAGTATAGCGAATTTCGATAGAAACGAAACGCCACGTCCGTACACCAATGTACGTACTCGCGACAGTAGCTATCGACTATCCTGGCACGCGCGCACGGTATAGCGTGCGACAGTCGGTTTCGTATAGCGTTTAGAACCCTCTAATTAAGAAATCACGACGATGATTCCATTATTCTTAGATCGTCTGAGACGACGGCCGCAAGACGGAAGTGTTGTCGAAATCGCGTGCGTGCATACGGAGTAGTGGTATTTTTTACGTATGGATGGGGGGTGGCGGTCACTTTTCTTTGTCCCGAGCGGTACCGGCCACGACGACATTTTCGCCACGGGAAAAATCACTATTGCACGCCTCAACAAAACTCCTCGTCGACACGACAAATCACAAAACTAATAAAACAAATTCGTTCCCCGCTAATTTTATTGAATACGAAACCGAACCGTTATTACGGTTTAGACACTGCCGCCCGCTAACTAAAACCGTTACGAACTTGTTTTGTTTTGTTTCGTCATTTCGGTCTATTTTATCGCTCGTACGGCAGGTCGACGGAGGGCAGAACCAGACGTCGTCGGGTACCCAGTTAACCCCCCCCCCCCTCTATACGGCCGCGCGTCGTGTCCGTAGAGAATTAAAAAGAAAACGACATTACGGACGGGGCTCCAATGCACGTGTATTGATCATACCCGTTTACCCCGTTCCTGGAACCGTTGCACTGCAACGAAGCACTGACCTGTACGCGGGCAGATCTACACTCCGGTTCACCGATAGCGGAACGTACAGATTTGCATGTCACATCAATAATTCGGCCGTTTTCAACTACAACGCCCTATTGTAACGGGCAATGACGAACGTGGCGTTACCGGGACGCTCGCGAAACTAATGTGTCGTCGTGGATATGTTGCCGAAACGTTAAATTTTAAACGCCGTACGGACGTTCTGAGTGCAGCGTAATACGGTAGCGATTGAAACGAAACCTCCCCGAGCGGCCTTAGTAAATATTGCGATGCGATGTCCCGGACGAAACGCATAGCACGCCGTCTCAAAGATGTCCGGCAACGTAAAATGTTCGGCGGTACGCGGCGAGCGAAAAAATAGAAGAAAAAAAAACCCCCGAAATGCGAAAATCCGAACGCATTATAAATGATTGTGTATAAAAAAATAATATCGTACGGACAACAACGATCGTCGCCGCTCGTTTTATCTATACTGTTATTGTGTACTACCCGATGTAAAAATTTCGGCGATTTCGCAAAAGCCCAGGGAAATTTATTTTAATAGTTTACTATCGTGTTGCGGCCGGGTAGTGGGTGGTGTGTGGGGGGGTATGGTATGCGGGGGCAAACGGAAAAACAAAAGAAACGGCGGCGACGGTAGGGGGCCGTGTAGGGGGCAGCTGGGGGAAGAAAAAAGCGATAACGAAATAATAACAACAATAATAACAATAATCTACTCGTACCTTTCCCGCGGCACGCCGCCGCCGCCGCCGGTCGCAATTTTTACCCGCACGGCGGCGCCGGCGTTATTAAAATTAATAATAAACGCGCGGGCGCTTTTTACGCGACCGATTACTTTCCGCGCTCGCCCGTAACCCGACCCGCGATATTAACATTTTGATAGCGCGCACAATATACACACGGTAGGTGTACCCGCACGGAGATTGTGTAGTTTATGCGCGTCGCCGGCGAGACGGTATAATGAATTCGATTTCCCTATGTAAATATGGGATATTTTCGCGCGGAGAGAGAGAGAGAGAGAGAGAGAGAGAGAGATAGACTGAGAGATCTACTGTAATCATCGCGTGTAATATAGTCGTATTATTATTACGGTCGCGGTTCCTATCGCCGTCGTCCTCTCGCCCGAATATTGTTACAATAACGGTCTTAACAAATAACGCACATCCGCCCATTATCATACGCGCATTGTGTACACACGCGTTGTACATCCACGGCCGATAATATCGTACAATAATAATGTCCCTGTCGAGAATACCCTACACGCGCCGTCGGACTTCGGCCCGGTCCCGCGATGATATCGCGCGCGCAGTCCCCGGCAACATTGTAGTCGAACGCAACGCGATTATGACGGCGTACCTAGTCGGGCAGACCCGGACCGGAACGCTTGCCGCACCCCGGAACTCCGAAACGCGTCGCATTTACGGACGCGCTCGTCCACGAGGAGAACTCAAAGCTCGGCGGTTTTTTTTTTTTTTTTTTACGATCCACGAGCGCGTTCTGCAAATCGGCACTGTCCCTCGTCTGTACCGCCATCGCGTGTCCCGGACGTCGGGCGTTTCGTTTGCGGACCCGTTCTACGAGGAACAGAACACGGGGTCGACGGGACGGGACGGCCAAAGACGCAGTAGGCGGCGAGGTTGGACGAACCGCGGAGGAGCATCTGGTGTTTTACGGCCGACAAGAGGATTCCGATGTGACTTTGAGGCGAGTTCAACAAGAGTGCGATGAGGCCGGTTATATTACATGGTTCGCAGTGTTAGGCAGCAGACACACACACACAGAACGGATGAGTGTAGCAGAGACGGGAGCGCTTATGGGTTTACGCTGTGGAATGGCTAGAAAAGCGCGCTATTAGGTGTGACTTCGATAGTGGACGAAATGAGAGAAAATACATCGAGATGGTTTGGGCACGAAGAAACAGGAATCAGAAGCAGTAATATTTTAAATGGAAACAAACGCTGGATTAAAAGTGGGGAGAAGAAGGCCGATAAAGAGATAGTTGGATGCGATTTTAGATGATATGAGGGTGACGTGCGTACGCGCTGAGTATGTGGAAATCGAGTCAAGCGAAAGTTTAAGACGAGGATGTTCGATTAATTGGAAAAATAAAAATTAACTGTACTCGATTGAAAATCAAAAAAATCAAAAATTACAAAACTATTACAATCTCGTATAACGAACACTATATTGTATATAAAATGTTCGAGCGTTTTTACCGGGCCGAAAAAGTCTACCGACGTAAAACCCGATAAAATTATAAAAAAAAATAAATATCAAAATAATTATAATAATAACTCAAAAACCACGGCTGGACCGCATTAGTATTTGGTAATGTCGGTGAATTTCGAGTTTCTGCAGCCGCAGTGCACATCTTTTTCCGCTACTTTTGGACGTTTTCAGCGGTTCCCTACGGACCGAACGTGTTGAAACCCGGGAATTGAACAAACTGGTTCGATTTCAATACGTTGTTTCGAGGGTGATTTTCTCGCGGTTTCGTACCCCTCCGTACAGACCAATCAGAAAGAACCCAAAGCATTTTTCACCGTCGTCGTATTTCGTCATTTTTTTCGGAAGTGTAATAATACAATTTTAGTGTTGTACTATTTTAATATTACGATATTACGTATACATAAATATTCGGTTCGGTATTTATTGTTTAGCGAAATTCTATTATACGAAATCGGCGAGGGAAAATTCGGTTCTATAGTGACGTAGCCCGGTCGGGAGGAGGTTTTTTTTTTTTTTATTACCGACGGGTGTGTGTGTGTGTGTGTGTGTGTGTGTGTGTGTGTGTGTGTGTGTGTGCGTGCGTGTGTACCTTCAACACACGAATTTAGTATACCCGTGTTCGGTGATTTTAAACGTGTACCTATTATAATAGAATGTTGTGTTTTTCGATGATAATAATATTCTCGTCCGTGATGATGTATTGTAAAAATTATGTTCCGCATAATTCCCCGTGGGGATGTATTTTCATTAAATAAATAGGTGAATTTTTTTTGCCCGACGCCGTACGCATTATGGTATAATGTACCTTTCACGTTGATTTTAGTAATTAAAATTATTATGTTTACGAGATCATCGAAAAATAATAACCAAATTAATGCAACATTTATTATTTTTTTTAATTAAATCCAAAATATTATCAACGAAAAATTGTGTTAATCATTTTTGTAATTTTAGAAAATTTAATTGAATATGTTAGAGCCGTTAGAGGGGAATTTTTAAATCCCTACGCCATTTTTCACTTTTGTTAAGTATCTTTTAAATGTTTTCTTTTTCGGCGATTTTTTTCTTTCAACCGCTTTTTTTTCTTCTTTTTTTTTTTTTGTGGATTTTAAATGCCAACAGTCCGAAACAAAGATAATAATAATCGAACTGACAATGTAATACGAAAATAAAAGATTTTAATCTCGATTAGCTCCTCTTACAAGTATTAACTTATTTTTTTTTGTTTTCTTTTTCCGAGGCAACGCGATATTGTAACTTTTGATCGAAAAACTCGTTAATTCCAACGAGTTTTAACGAGTTGATTTTGTAAAACGTATAAAATTAAAAATAATCGCGCATATAATTAGTAGATTTAATACTACAGGTGATCTGAATATTATTATTGTTCGTGTAACGAAAATTCGAGTACAAATATTTACACTTACATAATAATTCAATAATTAAATATGTACGTAGGAGGTTTTTAACGAAAACGATTCGATGATGGTAATAAAAATAATATTGTCTTAATGCAAATTAGAGTTTGAAAATTAATAACATTATAATTTCGTCTTAAAACCGCGAACACATAAATGATGACGGCGGTGTCGTACCCGGGCAGGGCGGGACTGGCTAAGCGTGGATTAAAATACGAATCGGAGGTAATCATCAACAGTTTTATGTCCCAAAAACCAACGGTACGAAAAACCACAAGACGATCCAATAAAGAAACACAAAGATAAAAATAAAAAAACACAAAATAAAACGGAAAACACGATAACCGACTCCGCCGAGACTGTAATAATGCCATTGGTTAGTTGGGTATCGATGTCAATGTATTATATGTTTGGCGCCGTGAGGTTGTCCGCGGGAACATAATATGGGTCTTTGCGGACAACGGGCAACGGGCAAGAGTTGTAGATAACCGTTTTGACACAAGACGCCGGTGTGATCCGCAATCGTGTGTGTAATAATTGTTTCACCGAAATATGTGATCCCATATCGGTACTTCGTAACTGGCATTGGTAAAGTTTAATAAAATAATATTATAATGATATCTGTTGTGTTTAAAAAAAAAAAAAAACACGCCCTAATAATGGGGACAGGTGCGGCCACTGTTGTAGGTAATGCATACCCGTCATTTTATTGTGAAATAATCAAATACGCTTTATACATTTTCTACGATAATACGTTTTTGATTTCGTACCGATTTTCCCGATTTTCCCAGATTCCTTTTGTATCCCCGGGTTTTCCGATGTTTTATCCCGGTGTTTCGCGTTTGCTTGTAAAACTCTCGGGAAAATTAAAAAAAATGTCCGCTCCCTAGTGAAATTTCGTTTTAGAAATATTGCTATCATTAAAAGTCCGAGCAAAATTACCGGTTGAAAAGTTTTGCACAGGAAAAATAATCGTAATATTTTAGTGATATATTTTTTATATTTTCCCGTTTTTTTTTTTTTTTTCGTTTTTTTATGTATACACTATTTTATATTTCATGTTTTTAATAATATTAATAAAATAACGTTTTTAATAATCGCTTGCAAATTAAAAATTTTCTCACGAAATCGTGTTATCAAATGAAATTTAAAAATAATAATTAGCTTTGAAATTAATTTTGTTTGTGCTCTGCCGATCAGTGCGATTTAGTAGACCACGTATCGTAAACTACCGCCCCGTAAAATATTCGAATTGAATCCACGGTTAATATGCAAAAAGTCACCTTTTTATTAGATACTCTGTAAATGTAACAGTCACTTACTTCACCGACCCTACAGCTCTTTGTTCAACAGCTGATATCAGCCTATACCTATAGATTTGTAGTGCACACGATATTACCTAGTAATATAACGTTTTATCTTGAGCACATTGCAGTGGATAACAAACTTTCGTAGTCATAATATAATAACTGAATCTTTACAACATGACAACCGTACTTCCTTCAAACCATTACTACCCGTGTCATATCTCTTCTAATTTTTTCCTCAACTTTGCGATGATATGTAGCAGAGAAAACTGTTGTTATGGAAATGTCCCGCATTCATCATCATCGTCGGATGAAATTTTGGAGATTTTTAAATGTAACCTTAGTGTCTGTGCTGGCAATTCTCGGGGTCGTATAAAAATATGACGATTATGATTTTAATGCTCTAAAAGTACATGAAAATGCCTTTTAACAAAATAATTCTCATAAAAACACGGGTCTATAAATGGAAAAACGGTGAACAATTTTAATAAAGTTTCACTTTTGTGGTCGTTATGTATTCGTGCCGGGTGACGCACCACCAACAATGACCGATTGACAATCAGTGTAGCTTAGACAAAAAGAAAATTATTTAAAACCCGAGTTTCTCGAGATAATAGTATACCGGACCAGCTAAATTTAAACCGTTAATTCGTATATATTGGTAGGCACTTAGAACTAACACAATAACCGAACGATGTTCGGGAAATAGACAGACCGCGGAAAATTAAAAGTTTATACAAACATAAAATGAAAAGTTCAATTAAAGTTTCCTTTTCGATTAACCAACCTGTTTCGCGAATTGAATTATAAACTCGGAAAGTTGTCTTGGATCGCATGAAAATCGCATGCATTTCGCATCGAAATCCGTGCCCTATTGTAATCGTACCGAATCTGCGTAAGTTAATGATATATTTCAACTCGGTTAAGTAAGGTTAAATTTTTTTTTTCAATTAAATTAAAAATGAAGTTAAAATATTTTATTATTTTATAATAACTTTAATTAATAAGTTAAATTATTCGTAAAAAAAAATGCATTGATATGTAATGATAATATTAAAAATTACTAACGTAATAAAAGTGAATTTAAAAACATATTGAATTGTAGCATTAATAGAATTCATTCAAGGTCCACTTAAATTTAAGTTTGAGTGCGGAAGTGGTTACTTTATTATTTAAAATAAATATAATTAATTAAAATTAAATTAAATATAAAATAATTAACTTAGACAAAGAAGTAAAACAGACATCCTAGGATAATGAGGACGGTTGCAGCTACTGTTCTAGGTGATTTAATGTATCCCTGTAAGCAACGATAAACCATTACTTACGTAGAAACGATTCTGAGCGGAATTCAGTTGATAGTGATGCTGTTTCAACAATACGTATGCCGTAGGTTAGTAAAAATAATTATATAGGTTCTATACATTTCCTTTCATAATATTTGTTTATTGTCTTACCGATTGCCTCGGTTTTCCAACGTATTTCCCAGTTCTCCCATGTTTTTCAAATTTGCCGAAAATCTATGGAGAAAATCGAAAAAGAACCCGTTTAAAGTACCCCCTTAGGGGTAAATTTCCTTTCGGGAAAAATTGCTATCATTATGAATTGGAGGTAAATTGTTGATGAGGAAACTTTTGACAAAGTCGAAAAATGACCCATTTAATGAACGTCCGCATACCGATTTCCTTTCGGAAAAGGTGCCACACGTAAACATCGGAGCTTGCAAGGCCTTTCCGGTAGAAAAGTCGACCACAGACAAAATAAAAAAAAAACAAATATCTCTGTAAAACCAAAAGCTTCTTCGCTCCACTCAGAATCTTAAAAAAACAACTGTTTCAGCGTGACATTAAAGTATGAACTGAATGAAGATAAGTAACACAGCTCTTCATAATCGTCTCTTCTTAATAAGTTGAAACCAATCTAACTATTAACATATTACCTCGTTAATATGCCCAGCCTTGGATAATACTCGTGTATTATATCCGACAGAACGGACGTTTTCGACGGTATATATTATAATAATATTATTGAATTATCGTAGTTTGCCGCGGCCGCCGTGTTCGAACGGTTCCCGATCGCCCCCGTTTTGTTTTCCTGACGCCCGTGCATGTATAGTCGCACGGGTCTTCTTCCGGTGACAGGGCCAAAGGTGTAGTGCCCCGAAATCGATAAGCACAGCATACAAAATGTTATATTATACCGACAAACACGGCGTATAATTTACATACATATGGGATTATAAAAAAAAAAAAACGGCAAAATGTCGTCGCGATAACCTACATAATGTTATGTTATTATTGATGGGTTCGGTTCTTTTTGTGGCGCATAAAATCGACGAAATACTTTCGAATTAATGCTGGTCCGGAAGTGCCGAAACAATCGTACAAATGATACTTAAAAAGCAAAAAAAAAAAAAAAAAGCTATTGTGACAAGCACAAAGATCGCTATCGAATTTCATGTTTGAACTCGTTGTGTAACGTGATATAATGTTTCCGTGTCGTTCCTTTAGCATTTAATGTCGAGCACATTAAAAAAAAAAAAGAAAGCAAATCGTCGACACATGCTATGCGATTATGGCGCTGACGTTGGTAAAGACGAAAAATTCTTTAAGCATTGATTTCGTTTATTCTCCACGTATTGGAAAGGATCGGTTATACGGGAAACGCGGATCGAAATCGTCGAAAAAAGGAAAAAAATAAAAACGTTTCTCGGAAAAAACCAGCGGGCCAAACACGGCGTATTCGTATCGAATCGGGAGATTTTTTTATTATAAAAGCAACAAACCTACCCGGACAATATTTCGCTGCGGGAGTTCCGTTTTTCTTCTTGAAATTGAAGAGAGCGGCACAAAACGTGTAGAATAACGTCAATGGCGGGTCTGGCGTCGTCGTCGTGTTTATATCCCGGCGCGCCGATTGAAATCATATTTCAACGTTATTTTCGTCAAATAATTAACTGTTATAAATAATTTTCGAGACAATTGTGTTTAGAAAAACGAATTTTTCAAAACTATTTACTCTCGTGTTGTATCCCCCCCGTTTGTTGTAATATTTGTACGCGTAAAAAAAAAAAAAAAAATTAAAAATCCGTTCGGCTATATTATAGGAATGCGAACGTTTTTTTTTTTTTTAAATAAAACGTTCGTATTCCGTTCGTGATATTTTTTTTTTAAAAAAAAAAAAATAGTATTTCGACGAGATTACCTCCATATTTCGAGTGTTTAGAATAATATATCGCCGGCCGCGGTTCCCGAATCAATATCGACGTGGCTTTGTGCAAAATACGAAAAAACCGGAATTACTCGCGTTTTAAACCGGCGTACATTATTACGGACGCCGCGACCCTCTCTCTCCCGTTATAGATTACACAATAAATTCCTTATTTCGCCGCGAGAATTCGATTTGCGGAAACACACAACGCCGGTTTTATTTCGTTTCGTTTTTTCTACAGAAAAATTACAAATTTACATTCACGAACAATGCCGTCGACATCATAATTCGAGCTGTCGTCGTCGAGGCGAACCGTATGCGTATGCGATGTCTGCACTCGTTGCTCGAATCGGGCCCCCGGGGTGCGGAACGTTTCGTTCGCGAGTGGACTGTACGGAAGACACGTCCTAGGACAATGGGAACGGGCGCAGCCTTTTTTCCCGGTTTTTCACATTTACTGAGAAAACTCCGGAGAAAATCGATAAACGACTCCTTTAAAGTACCTCCGCGGTGAAATTTCCTTTCGGATATGTTGCTTTCGTTATAAATTGGCGCAAACGCACTTATAGCACTGGTAGCAAATTTGTCGTTAAATTACTACGCAAAAAACAAAATCCTAATGAACGTGGTTTTTTCCTGCTTTTTTCTCGGGGTTCCCATTATTCTTAAAAACACCACTAAACTATATTGAACAACTGACCTCCCCTCGTTGCGCTACACATTATTTTTTCATTCTTGATAATATCGCCTTTAAATTTTTACGGCCAAAGCGAGATATCAAATTGAAAAATTGTTTACAGACGTATGATATTGTAATGTACATAATACGGAGTGATTTTTTTTTTTTTATCATCAACCAGCTTTATTCTCTGTGGGTATTTTAGATGAATTAGATTTTTTTCATAACCATTGTGCAATCGGTTAAGATTTATTTTAAAAATATTTTTAATTTGTCACCTTAAATAAGCATATAATTTGGTTTTTCAAATAGGAATTCCCCTTCCCTCTTCATGAACACAGATTCGAGTAGAGACAATTTTTCTAGAAATTTTGATATGCCAAACATTAATATTAGATTTACAGTTTATAAATTATAGCCGTTTAAAGTTAATATTGCGTATACGTTTTTGAATATTGAATTGATAACTAACAGCAAAAAACTTAAATAAAATAGTAATCGAATTCAATTGAAATTCTCCGGGACAATATTGCTGTTGAAGTGGTTGAAAAATGTCGCACCGTAGTACGGTGGATCTCATCGCATCAGAATCCAAAATAAAAAAAATCTTTATTAATTATAATTTATAATATACGGTAGCATAAAAGTTAATAGACATGCATTAGTTTTTGTTTCTCCGTAAATTATTAAACACTGAATTATGATTAAAAACCGTGGTGTGTTCGGTAACTGCGAGGGACGCTGGTTTCTTTTATGTCCTCCGTCTTTTATTTTTACAATACGAGCGCTGTTTATATTTGTACACGCGAGCGGATATCTACGAAATCGACTGAATTGACGTTATTTTGAATGTACGCGAGTCACAGCCTACACCCGCGGGCTTCCGATTTCAACAAGTATCGCAATTATATTCAATACGTGTGTTTTTTTTTTTTTTATAGATACCTATAAACAAATTGTCTCCAATCACGACCTTTGTGATTCAAAGTTCCCGCGGTATTTAACATTATATGAGAACTTTCTCGTAGCGTTTTTGATCCGGTCGGTGCGTCGGAGGGATATCGTTTGTGTTGTTTCCCTCGTAGTAAACTTGAAAATACCGACAAATTTCCGTATTATTTCCGTTGATTTCGGCACCTTCGTACAAATATGAATTTTAATGCGACTGCTCTGAATCGTATTTCGTTAGCGCCGTCGAGTTCGGTTATAAATTAAATGATTCTATAATATATAATAATATGCACCCTCGGGACTCCCGTCCTAAGACTGTCGACGCACCCAGAAGTTTCGGAAGTGTTCAAACGTGTCGGACTCTTTAAAAAAAAAAAAAAATTCCATTAATAATGTCACGGCGGTTTCGTGTCGTCTATTACCGGCGGTCTACTACCGAATCATACACACGGAAATGTCAGATCGGTCCGGTCACGATTTCGGGACGTATCATTTTTATTAGCCGTGAGCGTTGCGAATAACGCGGACACCCGTGGCGATAAAGAAAACACTATAATTAACCCATTAATCACTCAACTAAATAATTAAAATATAATTCAATCAATTATTTAATTAAAAAATAATACAAAGATCCACAGTAATGACCGAAAAACCATGTCCATTAAAATGGACATTGGTAATGAAAGGGTTAACACAAGCATACCTATAATGATTTTTTTTTATTTAAACAAAATATGTTCTAAGAAAAAGGGGACGGGTGCAGCTACTGTTATAGATAATTTAATGTATACCTGTAAGCAACAATAAACACCTATGGAGAAACGATTCTGAGCGGGGTTCAGTTGATAGTGATGCTTTGTCAAAAATATACATGCCATATTATAGTAAAATAATTAAACGGGCTTTATATATTTTCTTAAATAATATTTGTTTAATCTTTACCAATTTTCCCGTTTTTCCAATGTTTTCTTTCGGTTTTCAAATTTGATGAGAAAAATCTTGAAAATATCGAGAAACGGCTTCCATAAAGTACTTCCCTCGACGGGTCCTTTCCGGAAAAGGTGCTACACTCAAAAACCAGAAAAAGTCTGCCGGTAGATGAGTGGCACACAGATCTTTGTAAATCTATAAGCTTCTTCGCTCCGTTCGGAATCTAAAAAAAAAAAAAAAAAAAAAAAAAAATGTCTATATCGTTACAATTAAATAAATCAAACGTGTTTTAATGTGTTTTTTTTTTTTTTTCAAATATATCCATGTTGTACTACACGGATCACTAAACGCCATCAATAATAAAATCATATTACGTAATATTGTGTAACGAAATAATGAAGTAAAAACGAAATTATCAAAACGGACAACACTCGTTAATAAATATAGTAAATAAGTATGTGAATAGAAAGAACGAGTGGCATTTATATGACGTGATATGACATTTATTTTCTACTATTTGTAAATCATTTGATCCTGTGATTCGCGATTCCGTAATTTGATTTCTATATTATGAGTTATCAATGTTGTGGCAACAGGTTCACGAATTTGACCAGATATCGTTCATTATAAAGTTTTAGATTCCGAGCGTACCGAGGGGAACGGCTATCGGTTTTACCAAAATGTCTAATCTTTTCTTCTTCTTCTTCTTCTAGTGTGTGGACACGTTTTTTCTAGTGAACTCGCCGCGATTTTAACGTGTAGCAACATTTCCGAAAGCCCAAGTTTCATATTTTGATTTTCGACTTAAAGCGCGAAACGTACAATTTCACGATTTCATTATTCTGTAAAACACGGACGACTTTTTCTACCGGAAAAAATGATTCAACCGACAAATCACAAAACACCTTTTTCTATTGCCTTTTTTTACTTATTTTCCTACGGTATTTTCACCAATGCATTTGTTCCGCTTTTGAGTTTCAAGGAATTTTAATTTTTGAGAGTTTTTACTGCAATTCGGTTAGAAATACACGTAGAGGCTTACCTAGACGTAGTAAAATTTCCAAAATCATCGGACGATTTTTTTTCTTCTGATAAGCGTTTTTAAATCAAAAACGAGTATCGCAAAAAAAAAAAATATGGCACTTCAAATTATGTATTACAAACTGCACTCGGAATCGTTTTCCGTCAAGCAATGGTTTATCGTCGCTTAGAGATACAATTTTTTTTTTTTTATAAACGAGTAAAATATTGCAACAATATGTATGCAATTTTCTAGTAAAATAATTAACTAGGCTTTAAACATTTTTTTTAACAATATTCGAAATATAACCTCTCTAAAGTACCTTCCATAGTAGTATTCAAATTTAGAATCATTGCTATCGTTATAAATTGGAGCGAGACTGCTCGTAGAAAAGTACACAGAAAAAAAAAAAAAAAAAAGGCCGTCATATTTTTAATCAATAAAAATACATTTCTTAGATTTTTCCGTTTTTACGCGGTTTTTTTTTTTTCGGTTTTTCGTATTCGTTAAGAAAACTCTACCGAGAAAATGTATCTTATTTTTTTTTTTTTTGATAATCTTTAAATCCGGTCGCATCGTATAATATTATAAAAGAAGCGCATACTCTCCACGCGCATAATACGGGGATTTTCGTTGTGTAATATTGCGAGCACTCCGCGAACCGCGGCGCGGAGCGAATCGATTCGTCGCCGACTCTCACCGATTTTTGCTTTTCGCCCGAACCCCGCGACCGTTGTCAAACTCGCGGTACGCGGTTTTTTTTCGGAATATTCACTCGGCGTTTTTTTTTTTTTTTTTTTTTTCGGTTTTTCGTATTCGTTAAGAAAACTCTACCGAGAAAATGTATCTTTTTTTTTTTTTTTTTTTTTCCAAGCTCACACGAAAAAGTATTAAAAAGTAATGGTTATTACCGGCCGCAATATCGAATTATGTCATTATCCGATTTATTATCGTTTGTCGAAACGTTTGCGTGATTGCGCGACAAACGACCGTCGAACAAGAATCACACACGGCGTACATTTTTTTTTCTTTCAGCTTTTAAATCCCATTTATAGAGCCTTCGCTGCTTCCACTATTTCCCGCCTGCACCTCTGCCTGTTCACGCTCTCTTCCAGCTCCGGTTACCAGATCCGCTGTCAATGTGTCCACAACCGTCTTTGCCTAGAGCGGTCTTTTACCGTTGATTTAGCCTATCGGAACTCGTTTGCAGACGCCATTTATCACTCCACAAGCGCCCTGTCCATTCTGTTGGGTCGCTTTTGATAAAATACGCTCTCATATTCGGTTTTTGAAATAGCCGGTCGATTCGCTCGTTCGTTCCTTTTCGTTATGTTGTTACAGACGATGTTACCCTATAAAGGGTTCGAATGTTCGCAAGTTCTGGCAGCCCTAATAATTTCGGATCAAATTATAATCAGACGAAATTATAAAGGCGACTAGTCAGCTCGGGGGTAATTTCGCTCCACTGACGGATATCTTTTGCCCGCGCACATATATGTGTACTTACGGGTATTTTTCAATTTTAGAAAATTCTGACGTGAGCGTCGCAGATCAGCTGTGTACGGCGACACAATATTCTGTAAAGTATTTGAAATTCAATAACCGGGTCCCCGTCAGTTTCAACGAGGAATCCGGTATTGCGAAAATCGCTTCTTATTTTACTAATAAAACGTCGCGAGTTCCGAATTGCTCTATCTCTCTCTCTCTCTCTCGATTTCTACGTTATCGGCCCGTTTTTCCACCGATGACGGGAAAAAGTGTCCGATCACGGCTTTAGTACACCGTAAATGCGCGTACCTCCCCGGCGACGGCGGTACAATTATTATATCGACAAACCGTTTCTGTAATTTCAATTATTCGATTTTATTTAAATTATTTAACGCCGATACACTTATCTTATAAATCGTTCGAAATTCAGCCCGTCATCGTCCACCGTACGTTGGTGACCGCACTCGGCGAATTTCCCGGTTTCGTCGACTCGTTTCTCTTAATAAATCGAAAGTCCATCCCGTCGGTTTGGGTTTTCACAGGGGCCGCGGTTGGAATGTCGAAGCGATCTCACAAAAAAAAAAAAACAAAAAAAAAAACCGCAAGCCGTATTGCGCGCGATAAAAAGGCCGAACGCTTGTAGACCGACGAAAAACGCGTGGTTTCGGTATACGTCATAATCCTTTACCCGCCGCCGAAAACCCCGTTCCGATCCCCAGTCACCGGACGGAAATATTTCCGGTCACCTTTTTAAAAAGGAAAAACACGCTGTATATACAGAATAATATACGGTCGTGACGCGTACAGGATACACTCGGTCACGCCGGACCTCTTTGCGCCCACCTCCGGGACGGCGGCGCCGAGAGGAAATATAATTTTTAACACGTCCGAACGCGCGAAAGCTTTTTCCGCCGCGGCAATATTCTCGAGAGCTTTTAACCCGCCGGAGACGCGTTCCCCGCGCACCGCCGCCGCCGCGGCCGTTACTTAGCGGCCCCCGTGCGTTCGCCCCGGTGTGCGCGGACAGCCCCGGCCGACGGGAAGGTCGGGGGTGGGGGTTTGCGCGTGTACGAGTTTTTTTTTTTTTTTAGGGGTTCAACCACCGGCCACCGACCGTCGTTGCCCCGCAGACATTTCGCGAAAATTATGACGAAATTAGATTTTCACCGCGAGTGCCGTAAGTGGTTTCTGTCGACATTGTGTGCGCGACGGTTCGAACACGATTTCGGTTTTGCTGACGCCCAAGTTACTACAGCTGTCCCGGCAATGGTTTCGCCGCTGTCGCCAGGTTGTTCGATTGTTATCATTGACGCTTTGGACGCGCGCGCGCAATTCTCTCGCGCGTTAATCGTCGCGCCCAAAGAAGTCGTTCGGAAACGCGAATCGCACTCGCGTATATCCGTCGAGAAAAGGTTTCGATTCGCTCGTGTTGCCCGATACCCGATTGTTAATAATGGTTCGGGGGGGGGGTACGCGATCCCGGCGAATATACTTTTCCACCGGCACAACACATTCCCGGTGCTTCGTTCTTAAATTTGCATTGTGCATAGTACATCCACATCTCCAATAACCGAACTTTGATGATAACTATAATTAACACCGTAATGAAATCAAACCGTAAGATTCGAATCTTAGGGAGTGTGGTTAGTCTGGATCGAGCCGGAAGTTCTCGGCCGGTTTCCAATCTTGCATCTCGTTGCTCGTTTGTTCCTGAAGCTCGTGTCGCCATTTTCTTTCGTGCTTCAGACTCAGAACGACCGACAGTGCGTTTTTCGGGTGGCACGAATGCACAGCCATTGACCGCACGAATTGCATTGAAATTAAATTAAATAAATTTAAATTTATAGAACGTCGATCAGCAATTCAAATTACAATGAAATTAACAGACAATATTCAGTAGATATCATAAATAAGTCTTGACCTTAGATACCACATAATCAATAGAAAAATGATATTTACTACGTTACCAAGGTAATCCAATCGATAAAAATTATACCACAAAACACCGAAATCCCTGTGTCAGCTATCCTTTGAATTTTAGAAATCGCAACGGCTACGAACCTTCCCCGGACCACGTGAAACATTTTGCGAAAAAAACCCCGTTGAAATCGGTCCGGTAGTTTTTGAGTCTACGAAGGGTAGACGGACGGACAGACATCAATTTATGTATAGTACATAGACCGGATAGTAGGCACATTTACGTTTCTAAATTTTGCGTGGTTTTCCCGCTTTTGGAAAATTATAACGGACACGGCGATATTGCATACTGTGCGTTATCGTATCACAATTATAACAAGATAATTATTAAGAACGGATAAGTTATTGATAAGGAATATCCACTTTCCGCCGTCAGTATGTAATGTCAATTCAAACTCAACTCATTTTCACCGTTGAATTGTCGGCGGAGTGTCGAAAAAGTGTCGGTGTTATACGTAAAAAAAAAAAAAAAAACCGTCCAAGGATAATGGAGACGGGTACGGCTACTGTTCTAGGTGATGCAATGTATATCAATGGTGTTTATCAACGACAAACCATTGCTTACGAAAAAAAAAAAAGAAAACGATTCCGAGCGGAGTTCAGTTGACAGTGATGCTTTGTTAACTATATGTATATGACATATTATAGTAAAGTAATTGAATGGGCTCTATACATTTTCTTTATTAATGTCTGTTTAATATTTACCGATTCCCCCCGGTTTTTCTATAGTTTACCCGGTTTTTAAAATTTGCTGAGAATACGCCGGAGATTTTCCTTTAAAAAAAAGTCCTATTATTTAAGGTCGGAGTGAAAGTTTCGGTAGAATATTTGTCCACTGGAAAAAAAGAAAGCCATAATATTTTTGGCTAACACTAACATAACCTAACCTAACCTAACACTAACATCTCTAACGTTTCCAGTTTCTTTTGGTTTTTCAGGTTTGACGAGAAAACTCTTGAAAATATCGAAAAATGACCCCATCGATTTCCCATCGTAAAAGGCGCGACGCGTAAAAATCCGAGCAAAAACCCCCGGTGCTCTGGCGGAAAATATGTAAAACAAAAAAAAAAAAAAAACGAACACCTTTGCGAAACCATACGCTTCTCGGCTCCGCTCGGAATCTGAAAATGGCATTTACGCTTTTCGGCCCGTTTTCGCCTAACGTCATTATAATCGGTTCGCGTCGTCATTGCCGCGCTAATTCTCACTCGTTTCGTCCCGGCACCCGTATAACCGCGTGAATATTAACGACCGCGTATCGGACGCACCGTGCTCGGAAAAGCAAATAAAAACGGAAATTCGACGCGCCGACGGGCTGGCGCGGCACCGTGTACGCGGCGCGAAAACTTTTTGATTCGACGGCCGGACACTCGGTCCGCCACTTTCTCGCGCGTCGTCCGTCCGTCCGCCCGCCCTACCCACCGCCGCACCGCCCGCCGAGCGCGGCGGTCGCTCGCGGTTATTGTTTCCACCGACCGCGCGCTCGCCGTTCGAGGTATCGCCCCCGAAACGTTTTATAACCGGGTCACCAACTCCGAGACTCCTCGAACGTCCCGCTGCCGCCGTTATCACCGCCGCCGTTGGGATTTCTCCGGCGGTTTTTTTTTTCTCTCTCCGTGAAAAGTGTTGCTCGCAAGACGGAATAAAAAACTACCCCCCGGCTCCGCCGTAAATCTAACGGACGGGACGACGCGCGCTGTTCGGCGTTGACGTCGCGGCATTATGTTAATACGGACGCGGTATTGTGTTACCGTGGGTACCTGTGCACAGTACGCGCGCACACCGAAATATGCCGGGTTTATATAATTAGTGGCGAGTGGCGGACGGGCGGCGGTGAGTGGGAGGGGGCGGGGGACGGAGTAACCGAGAGGAAGGTCGTAGCCCGGGGCCCGTCGCGCGAAAATCCCGGCGAAACTTTTCCGAAATTTAATTAACGCCTTCGAAAATTTTTTTTTTTTGAAAAAAAAATTACAACAATAATCTAGCACGAGTATTGAAATACGCGTTTTCTCCGCTCGCGCAACATTATTATTAATACGCAGTTTCTTCTCTGGCGCGGGGACAAAAAAAAAAAAAAAAAAAAAAAAAACGGTTTTTCAAATTATATTTTACGGTCCTATTGTGTTGTTCCGTCAATCCCACCGGAACGGCGCACGCGATTCGAATTTTTTTCGGACGGCCGTGACGACCGCGCCGTTTTCTCGGACCGATCGAGCCGCGTCGGCCATCCGTAGTAATATATTACTATCCTAATTGACGGTTTTTCGGCGTTGTTTCGTTTTTTTTTTTTTTCTCCGTCCGAACCGCGATTGCGCGCGTTTTCAAAAGTCCGATTTGCTCGTGAACGCGACCGGAATATAGAAAAATAAAAAAACGAAAATCGTCAGGGGTGCCGTTCTGCCGCCGCGAGGTGGGATGAGAGGCAGATAATATTATCATATTAATATCATTAGCGGCAGAATATTATATTTCTATACGGCAGTATTATCCGATCGCGACGGTTCGACGCGCGCGATAATTTATCGTCATTCTAAAAAACCGACATTGAAATGTCGCGAAAAAAAATAAAAGAGAAACCGCGGACGTATCGTCACGACAAAAAAAAAATATAAACGGGAACCCAGACGGCCGGCGCCGGCGCGAGGTGTAACGGAAATTTCGGACGGAGCGACGACGACGGGAATGTCGTTATGCAAATCGGAACGAGACGCGCTGGCCGTGAATACGCCGTAGGTAACATCATAATATCCGTATAAAATATATGGCGCCCGTTTAAAATGAAAAAAAAAATAATAAATAAATAAATAAAAAACGCGTAGAAAAAAAAAAAAAAAAAATCGTAATATATTCCGTTTTCGGTCGATCGGGAACGACGGCGATTTAGCCGTCGCGCGGATATTGCGCTAGAGCGCGCGTTTAATCCGTTCGGTTTAATTCGCGAAAAACGAAAAAAAAAAAACCCCGAGCGCGACGGCGGCGAAAATAAGTTATGCGGCGTGCGTGCCGGCCGTTATTTTATCGTTCGAAAGAAATAAAAGGGTGTGTGTGTGGGGGGGGGGGTGGTGGTGTTGGGGTGTTGTTGGGGCGGTGTTGGGCGGGCGGGAAAAGGAAAGAAAAACCGTCGCTTTTAAAAAATTTAGTCCGCGCGTATGAAAACCTCGCGTTTTTCGTTTCTGTTTGTTCGGTATCTCGGTAATACAATATTATCGTGTTGTATACGTTATTATTGCATTACGTTACGGACGTTTTCGGTCGCTTTGGGCTCGCTCCCCTCACACCCGTCCCCCCCACCCACGACCATTATTATTTTACGCGCGGACCACTGTATAATGGACCGCGACGACACGGCGCGCGAACAGCTGTCGTTATTATTTCGCAAAGTACGGCCGAGGAGTAAATCAAGACTTCGCACGGCGGGCGGACCACCCTTGTGGTCAGGGGCCTGTTTGAGGGGAACGGGGTGGATTACGGGCACGTACCCTCTCGAAACTAACTAGAAAAGCCCTCCCCCTCCCGACAAATTTTCAAATTTTTATCGCCAAAAACGTTGTTAATCTTCTGCGTACTTTTTGCGACGTTTTTCTTTCGTCTACTCATTTCTTGTCGATAATTCGGTGCACACGGACGCGAGACGTTGTCGTGCGATCGAATAATTGATATGACTGCGCCGTGCGTTTACGGTGACGGCCGACCGCTATACCATCGCGTTTAAACGTTTAATTTAAATAATCTACGACTCGTAGGTTTTTCACGTTCGCTGGGAAAACTACTGTCGCGATTTCACGTGGCGGCACGGGATCGGGTGACTGGTCGCAACAGCGTGTTCCCGATGCTTTGCGTTTTAGTATTGCGCGAATTCGAAACTTTCTCGTTAGTCCGTCCGGTTTTTCACGGTCCTCGTCAAATACCGCTCGGCCGATCGCAAAACAACGGCCTCTTCAACGGACCATAACCATCGCTAATACTTCAAAAATACAACAAAACAAAGACGTCCCGGGATCGAATGGGGTCGGGCGCAGCCACGGTCGTAGGTAACTTAACGCGTACATCTGTACGCAACGGTTAACCGTCGCTCGCGAAAAACGATTCCGAGCGGAGTTCGTTAAATAGTGTTGCTGTGTCGACAACATGTAATACTCCAAATGTTATTATGAATGCTATCAACGCATTATTTTGTATATTTTATTTGATAATATCCGTTTGAAATTGAACGTTTTATCTCGTTTTCCCATTTGCTTTTTTTTTCCCCCCGTTTGTCGGGAAAACTCCTGGGAAAATCAAAAAATGACTTCCACCGCTCGGAATCTAAAACCGTCTTAACTCGAAAGTGGACCATCGAAAATGTCAACTAACACTCTGTGCGGGGGTTACCTACCGTTTCACGCGATCGAGGGCGACGAAATAAAACGGCGCGCGGCGGTGAAACGTTTCCGCTCGTTTCTTAAATTGTCGAAACGTTTTTTTTTTTTTTTTTTTTTTTTTATTATTATTTACTTACTGTTATTCCAAAGCCGCGTGCCCACCACGTCGGTATAAAATTGTTGTAATTATACCGTTGATACAAAATAATTTGGCCAAACGTTGAGATTCCAGTATGTATTCGAAAATCGACGTTATTAAACCGTCTAAAACACCAAAAGCAAAAACTATCTACACAATTGGGAAACGAACCAAAAATTAAAATTCAAACGGTATTATTTTCGTAAGAATCTATCATCGCTCAAACCAATTTCCTCCGTTTTAAATTGTATATTCTCGTTAATAAAATTGATGAAAACAAGTCCTAGAATAATGGGGTCGGGTGCAGCCACTGTAATAAGTAATTTAATGTGCATCTGTAAGCAACGATTATCCATTGCTAACGAAAAAAAACGATTCATAAGCGGAGTTCGGATGATAGTGGTGCTTAGTCAACAACATCGTATAAACATATACTACGGTAACATAATTATATAGACATTTGATATTTTCTTTAATAATATTTATTTAATATTGCACCGAATTTCCCGGTTATTCGCGTTTTTCGAGACAACTCTTGGCAACTCGAAAAATGACGTCTCTAAAGTACCTGCAAAATATAGCTATGTTACCGAAAGGAAATTTCACTAGCGTTCTTTAAAAGTTGGAACAAAAGTGCTGGTAAAAAAGTTGTGTCAAAAAAAAAAAAAAAAAAAAAAAAAAGGCCGTAATAGATTTTATCTCATACCTACTTTTCTTATATTTTCCGTTTTTTTTTTTTAGTAAAACCAATAGATCCTGTGTGTAGCGAAGAATACAAAATTAAAACACAATGTATAAAATACTATACGTATTTTTTAATTGTAGATTAAATTACTTTATTTATCTAGGTGTATAGCGCGCTATTCGGTTTCGGACTCGTGACAATTATATTATTCTATTATATTATTCAAATTAAAAACAGTGTTGTTTTTAGCTCTCTGCGAGTAATCCGATCCAGAATAATAATAATACGTGGGTACGTAAAAAGAAAAAATCATTAAATTTTTGTCGCCTCTGACCGTTTTGTCTTCGTCGTTGAGGATTTCATAAAATTGTAAAGTTTTGTTTAGAAAAAAAAAAAAAAAAAAAAAAAAAAAAACAACCCATGATAATATTATTGTATTCGAACACGCGCTGTTATAATAATGACAATATTATACAAGATCGTTTTATTATTTTCATATTGACTTCCGATCTACATTAAAAAATGTAATGTTGCGCAGAAAAAAAAAAACGTTAATATAAAGACATATTATTCCAGAATAATTACAGTCTAAACGGGGATAAAAGGACCGTGAAAATGTATAATGGTTATCTACGAATTGAGATAGATTTTATTGTTATCGGTAGACCCGGATCAAGGATTTCGGAGGCCCGGCAGGCCGTGTTAACAAGAAGACCCATTCTGTTAAAACGAAACGGATAGGCAAAAAATATCATTACATATTTTTTTCATCTCATGATATGGTATTCGTGGGCTTTGATTTCTCGTGGGCCCCTAGGAACGTTGACATCTCCCCCCCCCCTCCCCGATAATCCGGGCTACCAGATTTATCACGCGGTATACCTACACTGAGTATAGATTTAAAAAAAAAAAAAAAAAAGAAGATCGTGTAATAGATCGTTAATAATTTATATAATAAACGCGAATTCAAAGGTTGCATCTGTCTGGGTGGTTTAATTATGTGTCTCTATAATAACGGGTCCTGACAAAACTTTTTATTCGTTCTATTTTTCGCATGCGAAAAAAAATTCACAACGCTACAACAATGCATAATCTTCTATAAAACATTATGTACACGTAACAAATTCATATAGATTTAAAATAAAATAAAAAAAGACGTCCTGGAATATGGGAAACGGGTGCAGCCACTGTTGTAGGTAATTTAATGTATATCTGTAAGCAACAATTGCTTACGAAAAACGAGACTGAGCACAGTTCAGTTGTTAGTGATGTTTGATAACAATATATATTTTATATTATGGTAAAATAATTTAATAGGCATTATATACTTTCTATAATAATATTTGTTTTAGTATTGTACCGATTTCCCCATGTTTTTTTACGGATTTTTCCCATCAATTGGGAAAACTCGTGGAAAAATTGACAATTTATCTGCCTCAAGTACTTTCCCGGTCAGAATTTTGTTCAGAAAAAGTGCTATAATTTTAAGTCGGAATGACATTTGCTGGTATAAAAGATGTACTCCGAAAAAATAAGGCCATAATATTTTTTTTTACTAATACTTACATTTCGTACATTTTTTCGTTTTTCCGACATTTTATCCCGGTTTTTCGCAGATATTATGAAAACCTCTTGAAAAATCAAATAACGACTTGTCTAAATTACTATGGAGATAAAATTTTCTTTCAAAAAATTAGCTACAGTTGATACATCGGGACAAGATTTCTTATAGAAAAGTTTGCATAAAAAATCGACGAGGGATATTTTGCGATTAAAATAATCCGATTGAGCGATGGATTGAGCGCACCCAAAATTAACATCCGGACAGAATTCCCTTTCAGAAATGGTGCCGTTTATGTATATCTGAGCAAGGTTTCTGGTAGACTTTTGTTCATAGGATAAAAAAAAAAATACAAAATAAATGCACATCTTAAGAAAACCAATACATTCTTCGTTACACTCTGAATTTAAGAATCCGATAATTTAAACAAATTACAATATATCGTGGAGGACGGGAGGTGAACCATTCAACTGGAAACATATCTCAAAAATTATAAACATTTTTGTTTTTTTTTGAAAACTCGAGAAATAAATAGAACCAAAACGTTACATCAATATTGTTTTTGTCACGCATTTTTTTTTTCGGAGACGAAACGACTTTAATTATCGTCATATTGCTGTCGAAACGGAAGGTACGGGTTTCGATTTCGACTGGGCTCGGACCGAGCCTGCGTTTATAGCGTTGGCCCGTTGGCGCGGGTCATTAGAGAGCGCGGTTACGCAGTCCTCAAAGGTTTCGCTTTGGGTATCAAACGCGCAGTATGATTCCGTATACGAGTGGAAACGAACGGGCGCTAAAACCAATCCTTTTTCGGCAGTCCGGTTTCGCTCTGTGGAGAAAGGCCTGTATTTTATGGTCTTTTGACCGGGAGCACATTGAACCGTTTTGTTTTCAGCGCGTAGTTTCGATAACGGCGCTTTTTTCCCGACCGTGCGGATAAGACAATAAACGCCCAGCAAAACACCCACACCGACACGATCGGAATCGGGGAATACAACGCACGCGGACGTCCGGCGGCGTCATCGAACGTCTTCATAATGCGTACGTTTTTCTTATTTTCCATACCCATAGCCGGGGCATTCGTACGTATTTTGTGTTTGTATGTTTTTCCGACCCGACATTTCTTTTGGTAAATAAGCCGTCCCCCGAAACGTAGTTCTTCGGTCACTGCGCCCGTTAACGTGATCACGGTTCTATATACGCACATTGTTATATAGGTACTCTACTACACGGTTCAAAAGAACGCGTTTATATACTCGCGCAGAGCGTGTCCTGCGGAAATATGCGTTTTTTTTTTTCTCTCCTTTTACTCCGTTTCAAAACACTACTACGTACCTACATTACTATATACTGGCTGCAGCTAGGTATATTTGTGCGCTATATATGTGTACAACACGAAAAACACCGTGGTATATTAATAATAGAAACGTGTGCTTGTGTGTTGTGTGTGTGTGTGTGTGTGTGTGTGTGTGTTTATGTGTGCGCGGGCGTGTGTGTACATTTTCTCACAAATTCTATTTGAACGATCCCTTGAAAAAAAAAAAAAAAAATTCTATGTGTGTGTATGCGTATTTCGAATGTTTTTCCGCCCGCAATATAGGGAGATCGTACACATCTGTGTACGTAGGATTTCAAACGAAATTTTAGATAAAAAAAAACTTTTACGATCCACTGTCTCGTGATTTACTCTTTTTCCCCGCGATAATACAACGTATTTTCGTAAGAGAAAAATAACACGGCCGGTACAAGGCCGTAGATCGGTTTACCTGGCTCCGATCAGAATCGTTTTTCGATCGGAACGGTGTTTCGTATTGATTTCAATATTTTAGCGGTGCGTACGACGGAATGACCGGATTGCTCAATTATCAGTCGAGCGGTTCAGCGTATAGAGTTCAGCGCTCGCGGTTCGAGTAATTCCGTGTAAAAAATTTCGCCCATCAATAAACACAAATACTATTCTCCCTCTTGCATTATAAGACTCTGGTTCGGGTCGGTATTGTGGGTCTTTATTTTGTCGCAAGTTATTTATACTTCCGTTTTATTGTGATACGGAAAAGGTGTGTGTATATATATATATAGTAAAGTTAAAAAAAACGATATTATTACTTTTTTTTTTTTTTATATAGAACTAGTATAAACTAGTATAAATTAAATGAGTTCTCGGGGGGGTAAAAAAAAAAAATAAAACGAGCGGAGGGGAGAATGTAATTTCTGCGGAATCGATAAAATCCCATTAACGTAATTATTATTACCGAACAATAATAATGATAACAATAAAAAAAGAAAATATCGTAAAAATTATTTTTTTTCATTTTTTTAGTATATTATTCTTATTGTGTTACAAACCAATCGTGAAATTGCATATGACGGTATAATAAATATGGGTTTTTTTTTTTTTTTTTTACCACACGCCCCTTTATGAACGTACTATTGTCGGATCATTTTTTGAATTTTTTTTTTTTTTTTTTACAAATATTCGCGACTATCCGCCGAGTTGTTATCATACGTTAATGACGCTGCGGTGTTTAATAATAATAATAATAATATACGCTCTCGCCCGTGACGTCTTGATGATATTTCTTTTGGAAAAATTCTCGATTTTCCATTTAATCCGCAGTCGAACGGCGGGAAAACATCGAGCATAACAATGTATTATATTATAATTGAAAAAACCGTCGTCGTCGTCGTCGTCGTCGTCGTCGGGTTAATTTTTCTTCTCGCCGCTTTGCCGTTCGAGATACCCGCGAGAATAATTTAGAAATATCCGCGTATAAATATTGTTCTGTAGATCATATAGGTAAACGCCTTAATAATAATACAGTTAGGTGTGTCGCACAAAACGTTACCGTAACGGACGCTGCTTCGATTTCTTCCACGCGCACGTTCGGATAAAACTACGCGTGCATTATTGCGCCTAAATATGTATGTAATTTTTTTTTATTCCCGGATTTCGATCTTTTCCCGTACGCCTTGATTATCGGTGGAGGGGGGGGAGGGGCGGCTAGCGATATAATGTAGCGGCGCGAGCACGGTCGGCGAATTCGAAAAGTCATCGCGTTCGTTTGCGCACAGACGAACCGTCGTCATAGTTCCCCCGCTGCAGTACACAAAGTTTTCAGAACTTTTCGCGGAACTTCCGGCTCACGGAAAACGGCTCGGATTTTATTATTATAATTGCTTCGCCGAGGGATCGGGTCGGACCGGTCTGCGGCCGCCATCGCCGTGTCGTGCACTGTTATAATCTGCGAGGGGTGAATCGATACGTTACACCGATCTGAAATATGTGCAGGACTGCGTACGAACCGAATCCCGATAAAAAAAACCTGTTTGGACGAATTGAGTACCGAGATTCAATATTAATGTGTAAAATATTAAAATATAAAAAAAAAAAAAAAACTATTATTATAACTCTAGTTACACTAGTTATTCCGTGCGCTAATTGAAAAAAAAATACTATAACAGGTCACTACATCGGACTTGGAACATAATTCTAGGATCAAAGAACAAACACGTTAGATAGAAAGTAACGATGTGTTTTCTTTATTTAATAAACATAGAACCGGGGAATCGCCAATGAAAAATAAAAAATAACGTGTTACACGCGACGATAATTCATACGACAAGGGCGATCGGTACGTTTGTATTGGCGCTGAATTATTAAAGCAGTTCTTATTATTAAATTATTCGAGTCTTGAAAGAGTAATACCGACGCAAAAGCACCGAAGAAAACCACAGATATCCGGAGTGTAACGCTAAAGTACATTATCCTACAGAAATTATTTTTTTATTATATTATAATTAATTAATACCAATAGCTGTTTTTTTTTTTTTCAAATTTTATATTTATAAATGAGAAAGTATTTGTACACGCAACACTTAAATGACATATCAATTGATATATAATAACATACGGTAAGTGCCTAGCAGACGGTTCGATATTAATTTGTACTTAAATAAAAATAATTAACTACCCGTATCTCCTGACCGAGGAATGAATTAATTCCCGGTCGATAAATTCATCTAAAATACACAGATACATTTACATTACAGTACTGAATTTAATGTTGCGTTTATTTTGCGTACAAAAATAATTAGTTAATGTAAAATACCTGCGGTTTCCCGTTTTTCGTTAATTTTTTCAAAAATCCATTTCATTCAAATTTCGATGGAAATCCATTCGGAATCGGACGAGTCCCGACAAACTGTGACTATTAATTACGAATTGTTCGGTCCAAGTCGACAAAACACAGTCCACTCCTTGCATCTGTATTTTTAGTGTAATATAACGATCATTATTGTAGTTCTTGGATAAATCCACAGGCACGACTTACGTGTCGGTGGAAAGCGGAAAACGATGAAAGCCGATCATGGCCGATGTTTGTTAGGGCGCACCACACACGTAACAACCATAATCGACTAAGAACAATCGACGAAACGACAAATTCGAAAATTACAATTTCCAAATTGAAATAATATCGTTGATACGACAAAAACAATACCATACACAAAACAAAAAAAAACAAAATTGCATAAGTACACGGAAACGGACGGCAAGACAACAGGTGGTCGATGTCTAATGATTGTAACCGTTTTTATAATATCGTGACAAATTGGGATACACATTACAAACGTCATGTCGGATTACGGATACGGTTTCATCTTCTAGAGTCTAATACTTCACGGCGTAGGGATACAGTGGTCCGATCAGCCGAGTGAGTGAGAATTTTATGTATATCTGTAAGCGAAAACCATTGATTACGAATAAACGATTCTGAGCGGAGTCCGGTTGTTGATAATGATGCTTTTTTCAAAAATGTATACATCATTTTATAGTAGAATATAGTTAAATGGGCTTTATATATTTTCATCAATACAATTTATTTAATGTTGTATCGATTTTCCCAGTTTTTCTACGTCTTTCTCGGTTTTCCCATGTTTTATTCCGGTTTTTCATAACTGCTGGAAAAACTCTTGGGAAAATCAAAAAAAAATGACCTATTTAAAGTATCTCCCTAGTGAAATTTCCTTTTAGAAACATTGCAATCATTAAAAGTTGGAGCAAAATTGTTGGTAGAAAAGTTGCGCACAGTAAACAAAAAAACGGCTGTAATATATTTTAACTATAATGCCTACATTTCTTATATTTTTCCGTTTTTCTCCGGTATTTTTTTTCAGTTTTTCGCATTTGATGAAAAATATCTTGAGAAAATCGAAAAACGATTTCCTTAAAGTACCTCCCGACGCCGATTTCTTCAAACGGTGGCACGTATAGAAACCCGAGCAAGTCTTCTGGTAAAAGAGTTGCGCACTGATAAAAAAATAAACATCTTTGTAAAACTACAGTTTTTCTTCGCTCCACTCAGAATCTAAAAATCGACGGGCATTAAACGTGACCGGTAAAAATACCTAATGGTCGATACAAGGGCGGAGGGAAATCAACGCGTGCACGGTTTGAATATTATAATCAAGTAATTATTGTCGTTTTCCTTACGCGCAGTGGAAACTCCGAAGCGGAAATGACATTTCCAAATACACAGAGCAAATGGTTTTTATCGTCGTGGTTATTATCGCTTGAAAGTTTTTTTTTTCCAAAAAGCTCAACGTGTCGCGCGCGATCAAATCTGATATTCGCTAATATTCAGGCGCGCGCCCCGGCAAATCACCCGTACAAATAACACGAATCGCGAATTTACCATGATATTTAGCCCGGGCCGTGCGAAATTACACGATTATTTCCGGCGGAACCGGCGAAACCGCAAACCGTTTACGCCGCCCGTTCTTTTCGATGTGATAATATTTACCGCGAGATCATCCCGTAGTACCGGACCGGTTTTTTAGCGGCGGGAAAGCGTACGTCCCAGAAATCGTATTGCGTTGTCGAAAAAAAAAAAACGAACGCCGGACGTTAATAGTGTACGTATATTTTACGGCGCGTTCGGTTGACTTAATGACCGTTTTAGTTGACGTATTTAATACGTTAATCGAGACATTATGTGTTTTATGTTTTTTTTTTTTCTTTTCCCCTCCGACACGCTGTACTTCCATAAACAGCCCGCGTTCGTGTACCGGTACGCCTATAATAAATATCATAACGCACCACGCGCGCCGCGCAACGCGTCTAAATAAATCCAATTAATTCGAATTGGATCTCGTTTTTTTTTTTTTTTTTTTTATATCTAACCGTAGAAAAAAAAACAGGTTTCGTTCGTTTCGTGCGCGCGCGCCCGTATTTTGTTAATTTCCACGCGATACAGATACTTAAATAAACGAGAAAAAAAAAATAAATGTTTGTTTTCGTTTTTTCGTCGTTTCGTTGCTGTGATTTCGGTCGTTATAATTTATTATTATACATGAACGATTCGTTGTACGTGTCACCGCGATCCGTACACGGCGATTCCGAGTGAATTCGATTTCGGTTTGTTATTTGTTAATTTTTTTATTTTTTCCATTTTTCATTTAACGCGAAATCGCGTAAACTCTTACGCTATTTTCAATTTTTTTACTCGTGGCCGGTTAAAAATATATGCGATTTTAAAAATAAAAGTACCTCCCGGTACTTTTACGGAAATTCGAACAGAGAACATATTTTATCAAAAAAAAAAAAAAAAGTAATGTTTATACAATTTCTTTGGTTTTTACCGTTTGTGACGGTTAAACGCGTTTAGAGTTCGGTCCGGAACGATAATGATAACAGGCAAACGGTTATTATCGTCGTCATGAAACGGATATCAGAGCAAGTGTTCGCGGTGAACGGATCACTCTGTATAATACCTAAATCGGAAAGAGTGCCCGTATAATAATATTTGAATAGTTTATTTTGTCCGCGTTTTTGGCCGGCATATGTATATGTATGTATATTAGCTATATAATTCGTTTCGTCTATGAACCCCGGGCCGTTTGATGTTTTATTTACGCGTGTTTCGATTTTCGGCTTTTGAAGTTTTTCGACGACACTACACACGATATAATAGTATAGCAGACTATATCTATAAATGTCCAAAGTCCTTCTACATTTCATATTATTATTATGCCGTTCGATGAACCCCCGTCGCGGTACATATTATATAGGCAAATATGGATTTGATTTTTCGGGAGGGGGGGGGAGGAGGGTGGTGAATGACACATACACAAAAAAACGAAACTTAATTCGTCCGTTGCACACTAAGCATGCATTTCACCTTGCCGGCCGTCGGGGCCGGACGATAAACGGTTTAACTGTTGAAGAGTTAAAAGTCTAGTTAATAATTTAACTTTAAACGTTCGTTGTTTTTTTTTTTTTTTTTTTTCCCATTCACTTTATGAATAACGAGTTAAATAACGTCAAGTCAATTTCAATTTGTTTTTCATTTGCACAACATCACGTTTAAAACTTACGCACTATAATATTATAACGTGTGTGTGTGTATGTGTGGGGGGGGTTTTGGGATTTTAAAATAATTATGTACCTAAATTTGGTATTCCCGGAGTAAACTCTTCACAAATAATGATGATAAGTGATACAAAAAAAAAAAAAAAAGCCGTCCTAGGATAATGGGGATGGTTGCAGCCATTGTTATAGGTAATTTAAAATATATATATATATATGTCTGTGATTAGCAACGATTAACCATTTCTAACGAAAAAACGATTCTGAGCGGAGTACAGTTGATAGCGTAGTTGCTTTGTCAATAATAATATATTACATTTCATATCATGGTAAAATAATCACATGGGCAATATATATTTTCTTTAAACAAATATGTTCAATATTGTACCTATTTTCTCGTTTGCCCACGGTTTTCCCGCGGTTTTTTTTCGGTTTTTCACATTTATTCAGAAATCTAGTGAGAAAATCAAAACAACGACCTCTTTAAAGTAACTCCCTAGTGAGATTTTCTTTTTCAAAAAAAGTGCTGTGATTATAAATCGGAGCAAAATTGCTGGTAGAAAAGTCGTGCATAGAAAAATATTAATATAACATAAAATAATATCGTAATATTTTAGTAATATATTTTGTACATTTTGCCATTTTTCCTCAGGTTTTTTTTTTTTTCGGTTTTTCACATTTGATGAGAAAACTCCTGAGAAAATAAAATATTTACCCGTGACACGACTACAAACACGACAGTTGATTTTTAACTAGCCATATCATCGATTTTGTTTTACCCACTCGACTTTTGTCAATTCTATTGGATAAATATTGTAATTACAATATTTACCGTTAATTCGTCCGGTGCCAGTGTCGTTTTTCCCTTAAAAGTTCCACTCTACTGAAATAGCGATGCTGTTAAGTAGAATCAAACATTTAAAATTTTGTTTTTGTTTTTTTGTTATTTTTAATTAATAAAGGGAAACATTATACAGACCGCACTGAACTCTTTTTTTAAATATTTTATTCTCCACATTCATAACGAGTCTTTGAAAAAAGTAAATTTTAAAGTTTTTTTTGTTCAATTATTTGAAATTGAAATTGAAAAATCAAAGTTCAATGTGCTCTGTAGAATTCCGTATTGTTTTTAATAAAAAAAAAAATGTATAAAACAATTGAATTCACGACGAGTTATCAATATGTCCGTGAAGCCATTTTATTCAGTAAAAACCGTTCTATCTCCTTCCTCTAAATGGGTATCATCACAGAGTAAATCTGTTGGAAAATCTTATCTTTAGGCGGTAATTGAAATGTTACAAATAATTTTAAACATTTTTCAAAATTAGAGAAAATTTCGGTTTTGCTAAACCCAAACCTGAACCCATAACCCGTCCCCGGTCGTCATCGTCATTCAGTATCGTTACGCGCTTTCGGTTACGGTCGGTGCGGACGTTCATGGAGTTGAAAATGTATCGTAACCAAACGTTTCGATGTCGGTTACGCTTAATTACTATTTTAGTTACCATAAAAGGTTACAAATTTCAGGATCGGCCGGGCGTCGATAGAACAGAGTCGAGGGGGCTGCTGCGCGTGAAGTCGGCCGTTCGGCCGCACGCGTCCGTTAACATCGCGAACAAATTATCGTTATCAATCGTTCGACGCGTTTTTGCCGGAGACAAATTGTACATTTTTTTTTTTTTTTTTTTTTTTTTTTTTTTTATTATCGTTTTTCCGGTGTTGATTTATTCAGTTCGTTCATTACACGCGTATATTATATACATTACTAATTGACATATTTTCGTGATATATTGCGTTTTCGGAATTGTTTTTTTTTTTTTTTTTTTTTTTTTTTTTTTACCCTTTCCCGGACGCTTTGTATTTTTCAATTTTATTACGTATATACATTCGGCTCGACCCCCGCGTGAAATTATGACGTTGCCGCGTCTGCGCGTCGTACCATATGTTTCGGGCGTACGCGCGTTACTACGTTGTACAGACGGTTTTTTTTTTTTTTTTTTTTTTTTTTTTCATCCGCCCGCTAATACTTATATATTTTATAATATGAAATATTGTAATACAGCGAGTTGACATCATTGTTAGTCATCGTTAGGCTCGACGTTCGTGTATTTCAAAATATCATTATCCCCCGTTATTTCGCATTACGCACACATATAGGTACCGGAAATAGTAATTATATTATTGTTATCATATAGGGTTTATATTATTTGTACGTTACGCCGGATTGATCGGAAATATTATTTCCGCGCGAAAATTATCGAAATTACAATAACGTTATTACATTACAATATCGTTATCGGACGGCGAACGCGTAAAAAATACGATTCTTAAACATCGGTTTGATTGAAATAATAATAACATTACCATACGGACACAAAGGGTGCGCGAAATTTCGTTACAAAATCTTTTCTCCGCGGAAAATAATCGTTTTAATCATTAAATAAAATCATGTGCGTTGGTCTGACGAAGATGCTTATTTTTAACATTTTTTTTCTACCAGAAAAAACTTGCTCCGGTGTATATACGATGTAGAGCGAGGACATTTTCTCGGAGCTGCACTATACGGAGAACATTTTACGATTTTTCCTAAGAGTTTTCCCGGTAAATGTGACGAACCGGGGGAAAAACATTGGAAAAACGTAGTGAATTCGGTACATTATTATACGAACGTTATTTAAGAAAACAAACAATGCCTATTTAATTATTTTACCGTTACATATTAATGTGCACTGTTGACAAAGCATCACTATCAACTTAACTCCGGTCAGAATCGTTTTTTCGTTAGCAATGGTTTATCGTCGCGTACGGACATACATTGAATTCCCGTTTCGATCCTATATTCTTAACTTCTCACCAACGGTGGCTGCGACATAGGACAGCTTTTTTTTAAAATCGGATGACGTCGAATTTCCGTTCATTCGTGGTTTCCGATGCCATGCTGATAATTTCTGTATCACAGTGAGTTGACCCGTCATTGTACACCTGCAATCGTCGAGTAACAATATTTTCCGTGTTTGGACAGTGGTTTTGTTTTTTCGATATTTTAATTTTTAAGCGAGACCCGAGCATGTGAAATGTAACAATTTAAAAGTCGTCGTGACCCGTTTAAAAATTAAAATGTCGACAAAAAATTAACGTACAAACGCTGACGACGTCGTTACCTTTAAGTTTTATAATAGCTAGCCACATGAATATTAAAATCAAGACTAACGAAACCGGCTTTACCGAACGACGTCATACAATTTCCGACATTGCCGTAACACAGACAAACAAAAATGTACACAGTTTTTCAACGATACCTTTGAACGTTTCTGGCGGCTCCCACTAAACCAAACGAACTTATACTTGGTGGCTCAATTTTTTAAAAATGTCTTAATAACATCGATGTTATATCGAATACAATATTATAATATCGAACCTATAATAATTTTATCATCTACACACTGTTGGCATGAATTTGAAAATTCAAAAAGTGGCGAGCGCATCACGAACGTTCCGCATCGAATTACTGCGAGTGTAATAAACACGGGCGATACCTTAAAACAGATAGGCTATATATTGATTATCACTTGATTACGCTTTCATAAATCATAAAGAAATTAATGCGAATATATCAATGCGGCTTATTACACGGTCAGTTTTTGATTAGTGTACCTAAAATTTTTTCGAGAATGAAAGAAAGAAAGTACCCAAGACTTTTAAAAAGAAATGGCACGGCGAAATATATAGTGTACCCCATAAATAACGATATAGACGTGACCCATTAATTTCTTTATTGTCTATGGAATCTCCCGATAAAGTATACAATCAGCTAGCTCTTTTGTTGCCGTATGTGTTGATGGCAACTAGAAGTAATGGGTGAAAGAAAATTCGTTTCTTTTTTTTTCTTCTTTAAATTATTATTATTTCGGTGTTTTTAATATTTTGCTGTTACGAATAAGCATTCGGGAACGCTTATTCCGATTTATTCGTGGTTGTTATTTGCCACGTTATATTTGTGTTGGAATAAACATAGGTGTTTAGTTCGTAAAAGTCGACGCGGAATTTGAATATTAATCGTGCGATATGTGTGTAAACTATTGCTACGTCTTCGGCCTGACATATTAATAATTCGTATATACTTTTGTTATGTTTCAGGTAATGGCAAAAGAACACAGAATTTTAAATAGCCGATAGGACAGCATGGACGAGTTTGGAGTGTTTTGCGAAAAATTGTATACTCGCGAAACGGTTTGATAAAAACTATAAGAACACAGTTAACCTTTTTTAAACACCGTGTTATTCGATGTTCAAAATACAATTATCGAGACTATTATTGTATTGCGTTTAAACGCAATAATATTTTGTGCCTAAAACAGTGAAACCCGAGCATGACGGACGGCCCCTAGACAAGATAAAAAATCACTGTTTAAAAAATCGAAAATTAGAAAAGGTACCGTTCCTTGCAGGCTATTGAATTAATATCACGTGTATACGCGATGTTTAACTAAGATATGTGTATCTCTGAAAGTATCACAATTTTTTGAATACCTATTTTTTTTTTTTTTGACAATATAAGAAACAATAATCACATCTAAAATGTTATATTTCCATCATTTTCGAAAGATGAAACCACTAGTTATTTTAAAGTAATTTTAAAAAATGTATTAAATTTAAATTATTAAAAAAAAAATAGGGTGGGAGCCATTTAATGAAAACTCATCGATTAGTTTGTCGATTATATTAATATATGTATGTGTACTAGTTTCCCGATTAACCTTTATAGGTTTTGTATTTAAACAGACGATAAAAAAAAAAAAAAAAAAAAAAAAAAAACAAATTTAGCTTACGTGTAGAGTATATGGGAAGCCGTTTGGGCTAACGACAAGTTCGTGTACACCGCTGAAATTGATATACCGCGTAATCCGATACGGTTTTGTATTTTCAACACGTCGTCGCGCGTCGAATGAAAAAAAAAATAAATAAATAAAAAATAAAAATAAGACGATCGCTATGTAATAAACACAGCTGCGGCTACTGCTGCCGAGATCGCCGGGCTTAATATAGTGACGATGCGGGTCGTTAAAGCCCCGAAGATCCCGCGGTGTAAAATGTCGTTTAAAAGGACCGCGGCGTGCGACCCGCGGTACTTTATAACGTCGTAATCGGCGAAACTTTTTGAATTCCGCGACGGACGCCGCCGAAAACTGCGGCCCGATGTCAAAAACCGCCGGACACAATAACAGTTTAATCAACGTGCACACGCGGAACGGGGACGCTGCGAAAACGGACTCGAGGGATTCGAACGATTCTCGACCTAACCGTTCATTATGATTATTATTTTCAGTGGCGTGCTCGAATACCGGGGGGAAAAAAAAAAGGGCAGGACATACTGAATAGACCCGGTTGCAAGTATATGAAATCGATGTACAGATTTTCAGGTTTAAATTGACACAACGCTTTGTATACGCACTTACTTTATCGACGTTATTTCAATTATACCCGTTTATTTATTCACGTTTAACGATACCGACGTACCTCTTTACCTCAAAGAACTGAGTGGTTAAATCAATAATTCTTCTGGTTATCTTGGCATTTCAGCGAAGCCCTTCATCTGCAAACGCATATTTCACGGACGGAAAACCAAATACTCGTGTACAATTTATATCTCATATTTAAATCGTTGCCGTTCTTTCATAACAACACGTTTTTTTTTTTTTTTTTTTACAATAAACTGCACACTATAAATTTTTTACCGTTTATTTTTGGCTCTAAAACGCGTTATTTTCGGCCTCGCTGAACGAGTGTGAACGCTGCGTGAGGGGGTTGAGAAAAAACCGCGTGATTATGACTCGTCCTAGAAATATGGTGCCCGGGACCAAGGGGCCCTTTTGATCTCCGTAAGAATGTCCCCGCTCAGGCGGCCATAACGAACATAAGTAAACCGTTGGATGAGACGGTTTTGTACAGTTTATATCAATAAAAAAAATGCAAAAAAAAAATAATAAAAATAATTACAGGAAATTCATAAATCATTAATTTAATGAGTTATTAGAAAGAAAAAAAAAAAAAGGGTCAATGGGGAATATGACACTCTTATTTCCCCCGCGAGCACGCCCCCGTTATTATTATTATATCACGCGAGAATGACACGACGAAACGAAAACGATTTTTTTTTTTATCGTTCACAGCGCTCATAACACTTTAGGTACGTACTAAAATTTATCGAGAACTCCCAGCGCTGACATCGAACGCGGTTTTTTTTTTTTATTTTATGGTCCATTTTCACACGTGTCGGGCGCGATTTGTAGCATGCCTACGACGATGCATTTTTACAAGATAGATTTTTCGATCTTATATTAAACGAAATTTTCAGTTGTGATAAATAATTATTTTCGAACGTATACTATACCCCAGGGACGTATTCAGTTCATCTTCCACGGGGGGGGGGGGGGAGGGACGAAATTCGAACTTTAATCGTATTTATAAATTATTAGTTATAAAAGTATATGTCTATAAACGGTAGTGCTACAGATTATAAAAAGATCGGCAGTTTAAAATTGTCCGATCGTTTCGCTTGCTTATAACTTGAATAATTGATTTCTACCTATTTCGATAATAATTGTTAAGGATTGAGGATGATAAAACTCCGAGAAAAAAAAGCCCTTAATCAAAAAACTGTGCAAGAAATAAATAACCCCGACGAAGAAAAAAACAGCGCCAACGAAAGAAAAGGTACAGTAATCAACATCTTAAGAAAATGTTTTTTATAAGAATTAAAAAAAAATTCCAATGAAAAACCCTATAAAAAATTAATACAACTTATTTAAAAAATAAAAATAGACGCCTTAGAATAATGGGGACGAGAGCAGCACTTTTACAGGTAATTTACTGTGTACCCTGTAAGCATAAATAAAACATTTCTTACAGAAAAACGATTCTGAGCGGAGTTCAGTTGATAGTGATGCTATTGTTAACAATATACATATTATGCCATAGTATAATAGAATAATTAAACGGGCTCTATATATTTTCTTTAATAAAATGTATTCAATGTTAAACCGATTTCTCTGGTTTCCGTGTTTTTTTTCCGGTTTTTCACATTTGCCGAGACACTTCTTGGGAAAACCGAGAAACGACCTCTTTAAGGTACTTCCCCGCACCGATTTCCTTTTAGAAAAGACGCTTCACGTAAAAGTCAGAGCCAGTCATCTGGTGGAAAAAATTTCCGCAGAAAAAAATTAACGTCTTTGTAAAACCATCATTTTCCCCGCTCCGCTGAGAATATAAAATTGCAAAAATAATCAGGTAGTTATTCAAAACCGTGATTTACGTATATTATTAGGCTTATTGCCTACTCTTTTTTGAAATCATTTCATACATATATATATATATATATACATATTATATTAATCTTATTTTTCTAATTTTTTGCATGAAAAATCCTTGTACAGAATACTATAAAATAATGTACCGTAGGTACAGGTGCCAAATGTATGTTACATTGTATATTTATAATCAGGGTTTTTAACCAATAATAATTTTAGTACATTTATTTGTCCGCAGTCAATTTGTTCGTATCGGTTATTGTAAAAATATCCGATTTGTAGTTTTCGTACGAGGAAAATATTAAATAAATATAGCATCGCTTCATCGCTTTTTTTTCTCCCGTGCGATTTTCGGTCAGCGGCTTTTTTTCCCCAATCCCGTTACTAGCCATTATTAACAGTCATTATTTCGCGTATAAGTACATTGCCGATTTCAGTATTGAGTATTAATGAAAACTGCTAGCGCGAACGCCAAAAACTGCCGCCGACCCGCAGTGCCGTACCCGTACCGCCAAGGCCGTCTTTCCATTAAAAGCTCACCGCGGCTCTGCGATATCGTTCCCCGGACACAGAATAAGTCAATAATAACGCGGACCGTGGTTGCACGGTTGCCATGTACAGACAATAATCGTATAGATAATCAAAATATAATTGTTACAACCAACAGTAGGTATATACATGACATACATATATATATGTTGATGATAGCTACAATATCAATTTCTTAAAAAGTTTTTGATAACCGTTTCCGCGTAAAAAAAATTAATTTTTTTTTTATTAATTTTTGATTAATCGTAGTAAAAAAAAAAGTACCATACATGAAACAAACTCAACAATACCCAGGGGGGGAGGGCGATCACCCCTATTGCCAACCCCTTGTATACACGCTCCTGCCGTACCCACTATAATTACGTTACCAAGCGTCGTTACCAATAATCGTCCTATAAAACAGAGATGCACTGGGACAATAACTCCAGCCAAATCATTTCGGTAAACCGGTAAGCGGCGAGAAATTAGACGTCATACTTCCAAAAGTCGCCGTCCGCGCGGAGAACGACATTATTAGTAGTGCCGTTCCGCTGACGATACAAACATTGTTTACACGTTTTTTTTTTTTTTTAAATATATAATCTAAAAGTCAAATCGCCGGGTATAATACGAACGAATTGCCGTGCCTCTCGTCGTGGCGGCGGGTGCTCGAGACGTTATATTTAATTTTCTTTTTTTTTTTTTCTTTTCTCGTGCGTCTATTTCCCGAATAAGTGCGTACGAGTTTTTTTTTTATACACACACACACACACACACACATATTGTATATATACGTGCGTGTGTGTATACATTATATACACGGTCTGTAGGTACGGTCTGTTTGTATAATACATATATACCTGTATACATGGAACATATTTCGTAACACAATATTATATAGAAAGTTCAAAGTATAGAAAGCATTATAAGCTAAGGGCGGAAATATGTGCGCGCACTACGCAGCAGTGTTTTTTTTTTTTTTTTTATACTCCGCCGATGATGATGGAAAACTTCAGCGGCAATTTTATTCCGTTTGTTTATATTTATTTAGAGCAAGCGTGCGTGCGTGTGTGTGCGTATCCCCTCCGCTCGTATATACACGCGCGGGCGAGTGTGTGTGTGTGTGTGTGTGTGTACAAGAGGGAAACAAAAACCTATTCAAGGTTTGTTTTTCGTTTTTACGTATAGGCACGTTAACTCGTACGGTGGTATATGGCGCGCGCAGAGAAAATATTTGTAAACCGCGGCGAGGCGCGCGCGACCGCGTTACAATTTTTTCTTTTCTTTTTCCGGTCGCACTTCTTCCCCCCCCCCCCCCCC